TAATTTTTTCCGTCAAAATGTATTTTTCTCACCGCCATCGCCATTGTTAACCCTTTGGTTATTCATACTCATGTTCAAAATTAATCCTTTTTTTATGTTGGAATGTATTCCTTATTCAATTTCCTTCAATTTTAAATATCATATATATATATATATGTTACATTTTAAGTGATGGTTATGCTTAATAAATATGAAGTTATTTTGTACATCACCTGTGTAGCCGAGTCGAATAACAAGTTAATTACGTCTAGACCACATAACAACTACGTCCAGAAAAGGTTAATTTGTGTTAACTAGTTTAATAAAGCCTATTAGTTTAATAAAGTCTATCTATCTGAGTTTTTAAAACTGTTTGTTCTATCTCGTCAGTTACGGTCGTCCACAGATGCAACAAAAGTCAAAGCCCCTAGAATAAAATTACGATCTTTTGGTGAGAAAAGTGTCTTATTTTTTAGCCCAAAAATCTGGAACATCTTGCCTCAGGATCTTACAGAAACAGCAAAGTTTGATAGGTTTAAGTGATTGCTCAAGACTCATTTGTTCAATTGTTAGTTATAGTGTGTTAGTAAGTTCTGATTTTCTAATACGTATTTACATATTTTTTAACTGTCCTTTCGTGTATAGTTAATGGTTGTGAAAGTTCTTCTTTATATGGTTAAACTGGTTTTTCTTGCGTCTATCTTTGAAATATTTTTTCTTGTGTGAATGATTATGTGATTGGTGCTCAGAGCTTTATACTAGTATGGGATAGAGCGCTATATAAATGCAATCTATTATTATTATTATTATAATTAAACAATCCAAGCTCTTTTCTTCACTTTCATTTTTTTTCTTTTATTATTCTTTCTTTTTAAATTCTTTTTTTCTTGCCTATTCTTTCTCTTTCTTCTTGAACATTTGGAGTTTGGAGCCAAAAAAGAGCCAGAGAGCCAAATGAAATTCTCCGGGCCAGACGCGGTCCAAAGAGCCAAATTTCTGGGATTTGGCTCCAAACTGACAACCCTGACTGTAACTATACTATTCGGACACAAACAGTGACAAACATGATGCTGTGGAGCGTCAGCCCTGACCCCCCCCCCCCCCCCCCAAGGGTGATGCACGCTAACCTCAGCCCTGATCCCTGTAGGGTCATTTCCGGTAAAAGGAGGGGGTGAGAATAGTGAGACATGGGTTATGGTGAGAATAACTACTTCTTTCTTCATATCTTTCAAAATCCTTTGCACATTCCAATAAAAATGGTACTACAGCTTTGAAAATTGTTGTTGTTCTTAATATGATGTTTCAGCTATGGGAGCATACAAAATAGCAGTTGGACCATCAGAAGAAATTTTACAATTATTTTTAGTTCTGAAATCTGTGTATTTTTAAAATGCAAAACGTGATGCACCGAGTTCATACTTTTTCTGTCAACAATGAAATAATTGCTGAGAAACTCGTCCTTCTACACTTTTACTTTTATAACTACGTTATTTGTGGTGCTATATCAGGAATAGTGATGTTTTTTTCCCTGTGAGCCTTCTAGATTTTCATTTTCGAGCTCAACTCGTGTAGTCATTTCACAAGGCAACTTCGATTCCCTGTGACTTCGTTTTTATCGGTCATTTTGGGACCCTGGAATGAGCACAATATCGTTAAATGTTTACTCTCTGCCCTGACTGATTTCGAGGCTGTGACCGTACGTAATTTTGCAGAAAACGGAAATCCCGCGACGCCTCATGCTCTGTCATCATTTGATTATTCGAAAGAACCAAACTGAAAGCGAGAAGTAATAGGGGTGGAGGAACTTGCATTGTTCCTGTCAATCCTTTCAAAGTGTATTGTTGTGTGATGTAAGACAGTGAGAAGAATAACGATGGACGAGACGAATCCATTAAAGTTTTCTTATATCATCATCAAATCTAAACATGTTATGTTTGAAAAATTTAAACGAAGTAATGGTTAACATCACACTGCACTCCAATGGTCAAGTAGTGGCAGATCTACGTGCAGCCCCGCGTGCTTGGCTAGATGTCAACGAGGGAAAATTTGATGTAAATTGATGATATTTTCCAAAATGACGACAAACATTTATCCACTATGATGACTATGTGTCATCTTGCGGTTATGTTTGAAAGATATTTGGTATTTTGCATTAGAGTCATAGTAAAATGTGAATAAACTGGCACTTTTTCATCATTAACATGCATTGTGAGTCAAACTGAAGCTTCTGAATCGTTGTTTACCCAAATTTTTATAAAAAGAAATTAAGATGTGAAAACGGAAACTTTTTCATTTCTTTCGGACATAACTTAACTATAATGACACAAATGCATTCACAGAGGTATTCAGAATTGCTTGTTTCTCTGATCCTCACCATTTTATATGCTCTTCATGCTTATGTTTGAGAATTAAAGCATAAGCTATAAGAAAACTGTTAAAATAATTTTGTATATATATACAAATTCTAAAAAAATGTGTCATCATAGTTATGTCCGAAAAAAACTTGACGTTATGTAACGCCTGTTACACAGCTTATCATGCTGTCTGTAGGTCTGTAAATACATGTTTATGTAGGAGGAGATATACATGAATAAAAAAAATTAAAGTAAGAACGAAATATTAAAAACTTTATCGTCAACCCTCTGTGCTACATTTAAGGTGCTCACCTATTGGCAAAAGCTCATATATAAGTATTGTACAATATCATGTGTATAGTATGTTCGTACGAGATCTATATCTAGGACTAGAAATCTTGATCTAAAAATCTAGATCTAGATTGTAAATATAGCCTAGATCTAATCTAGATGTGACTTTTTGAATGGAGTAGATCTCGATCTCGATCGAGTCTGAGTCTGAGAAGAAAGTGCAACCCTTGACTGCTCACCGTATACTTTCTTCACTCCCGCACACTGATGCAATGCTTTGGGGGTCAAACAATGTGACCAAACGTAGAACGACGCAAACTATTTTAATATAAGGCGGCCATTTTGTGTGACGTTAGACCCGAATAACCCTCCGATCACGTGACTACATCTAAATGTAGCCAACCACATGGCACCAAAGATCATGTAGGCTATGCCGCTATACGGAGAGGTTTCAATTGCACTGTCTCGTTTCTCGGGTAGTAGAAAATCTTTGACGGTACGATGCTTTGGTGCAATGTTTTTCCAGGAATACCGGTAATGTGATATGATGCGGTGCTCCGATGCTGCTGCTGCTTATCTCTTCTGCGCATTGTTTATCGGGCCGTGAGGGGGGGGGGGGTAACCTTCCAGCGTCTTTACGTCAGTTTTCGCGTGCTTTATTGTCTCTGCGTTTACCGTGTTTCCATTTCAAGCATCAGCATTCTTACTGTTCTGAGCATCAACGATCTAAGCGATCTTCCATTATGTTTTGTTGTAACTAATCGGAGCATGGTTGACGGGCTGCAGTTAGCCGCAAGTGTGGAAATTTTACCCTGTGAAACACATCGATACGGATAATACGTTGAGCCACTGATCCAACATGTCGTTCCATGCGGTATCTCCAAAGATCGTGTAGTAGAGAATATTTGGTATCTCCATTCTCCACGGCCTTCTAAAGACAATCTGTGGGTATTCCTGGATGTGGTGACATCACATTACTAAAATTAGCAGCCAATCAGGCAAATGCGTTGTTCTACATTTAGCCACATGTGGGTCAAACTGTAGTAATTTTTGTTGCAGATCACACATAAAGCCAATAAAACTTTCTCAAATCAATTGTTTTCAAGAAAATTTCAGACCTAATGGCATGGCAAAATATCAAATTATGAGTTAAAAGAGGGACAAAGAGGTAAAACTTGTACTGATAGGCAGATAAATGATGAGTTGGATTCCTCCATTTATTGACAAGACTTGCATAGAACAAGCCATAAAAAAGATGTTAACAACTTGAAAGCACTAGTCTAAAACTGAACCAGTGCTTCGATTCTACGTGCTGGCTCTGTCTTGCACAATGTGTGTGAGAAAGACTACTTGCTTTGTAGCTCACGCTTCTCGTTAAGCTACATATAATCAATAGAAAGAGAAATGAAGAGGTTGCTTTATGCATCCGTTAACAAAACTTGAGTAGAGCAAGCCATGACAATGTAAACTATTGAAAAGTAGTGAGACAAGCTTTCCGAGTCAAAACGTCGGATCTGACCGTCTCACTCTCACAAGATGTGTGTAAGAGAAACAACACACCTGGCTTTGTTTTCGATTATAGAACACACACTTTCCGTCCAACAGTATAGATATGACAACATTATAGCAAAAATGATAAGCTTTCAAGGGATGTCAATCTCTATTATATTCAAAACTTAGTAGAAGCTGAAATGTCAACAAAACATGTAGCCTAGTTTACACAGCACTGAGTGGCGGATTACCGAGACATATGAAAAATGTTTAATACTGTTAACAGCACAGTCAAGGGGTGAAAGGGGTTAATAAGTTAAGATATTCTGATGGACTCTTCAATTCAATATCCCATTTCGATCCTTCAGAGACAGATTGTATAGAGACTAACCGTAATTTCTAGATGGTGTTTCATCTTGTATATATATGTGTGTCATGATGTGGTGGAATCAGGCCCTTGTCAATTTTTGGGCATATGGAGCTATTGGTATCATCTTAAAGATTATAATTCATTTGCCTTTCTTTCGCTGAAAAAATATCCATTTACTGTGAATAGAAGTAAAATTATTTGCGATTGAATGAGGTGAGGTCGCCTGGTTTCAAAGTAAAATTATCAAGAAAATGGCTGGCAAAGTTTGGTGATTCTCATAGCTTAATAGTGCTTGGAAACTGCAAATTTACATTTTTTATGCCTTTGATCAACGTTTTTCCATAAAATCCACACATAAAAGTGTTTTTGAATGGACGTACAAGGTGTTGAGCCAAAAAACAAAAATTAGAAAAAAATGTATAAACTGGCTAAAAAATGACGATTTGTCGTATTTCATTATTTTGACGAGCACCTGATTTCATCACGATGCCTCACATTATATATTTTTCCTTCAGATGTGCTGAATTGAATTGAGTGATATCTGCAAACATGCCAGAGCAAAGCCCTTCCCAGGTGCATATATCTAGCATCAGTCGGACATCCCTTAGGAACTTGTGTGCGCTTCTGAAGTCTGAAGGTGAGACACCATGTTTGGAAGATGCTGTAAGAAACCACAAATTTTGTCATCTCCAGGATTAGAAATTTTAGATTTGATAAAGTGGCTTGTTGTTTAGTCTCTTTTACCCATCCACACTCTAGAAGTTAAAATTTGTCTTGTGAATAAGCCTCCTCCTTGAAGTTGTATGTTGAAAAAAATCAAAATGTTGAAATGAGTACATTTTATGGTTTGGTTACTGATAACTATATATATATATAATATACAACACATTATATCATTATGTACAAGTTTTTTACTTTGTGTGACTGAACTGAGTTAGTCAAGTCAATATTTTTCAGCTTTGTTACAGCACAGTTAAACACATTTTCTTGATATTGACTGTATCGGTCCTGAACAACTTGTTCTCGCTGGAAATATGGAAGGCAGGGAGAAATAAGTTTTGAACCATAACTGCTGGTGTCTGCCTCAGATTATATGGTACTTCATGATGATTGTGATTGTCTCCAGGTGACAAAGTTCTGAATGGAGTGTCGTCATTTACGTTGACTACTGAGGTACTCACACATTTGAACATTGACTGCCGAAGACACAGCATAAGTGGCAATGGATACCCAGCGGGGCAGGGTTCGCTCCTCACAGGGAATAGCAGCTTCCTCTCTGTCAGGAGGAGACCACAGCAGACTCAGGAGAACAAAATGAGAGCAGAGTGGGATGCCAACATTCAGTTTGTCAAGGACTTTATGCTGAGTACACCAAGGCTGAAGGTACAACTCAGATGAGTTTGTCATTTTGTTGCCATTCTCTGTTGTCAGGACAGAATAAAAGTTAAGGAAGTCTTTCCTTTGAATAATGACATAGGAGTTTGATCAGATGTGTCTACAAAGGTACTCCGTACTGTAGAAGTTGAGATCAAATGCAAAGAGAAAACAAATAAAGCTGAACCTGCTCTAATGGCGACCTGTCGAAAACGATCGACCTCTCCCCCCCCCTCCCCTTCTCCTTGTGTTTTGTCTGTATTATAATAACATTGTTCAAGACATCCACCTGCCTAAGACAGCCACTTGTGTCCCAGTCAATGGGGTCTATCTTGGAGAATTTTGCCTGACTGTCATAATAATATAAGATTCAAAATTTAATTTCTTGTAGTCCCTTTTCTACATCTTTCCTGAAATGTTTTAATTTATCAAAAAGTATGCCCAAAAGTGCTTTTTCAAAACTAATTCATGACGTCAAATATGAGCTGCAGGCCTCTCCTCACAGCTGTGGTTTGTAGGAAATTGATCAGACTGGGGTCATGTTTGGGGTAGTGTCACTTTGAATTATCAAACTTGTGATTACCAGTCAAAGGAATGTGGTTTTCCTCGTGGCAGATTAACTTACATGTATAGATATACATGGAATAGTCCTGCAAGTACACATAAGTGTATTTGTTTTAACACTTTACTGATTAGCCTTCCTGTCAGTGATAGATTGATCAGGATAATGGCTGTCAACTATGCTGAAGAAGAACGAATTTAAGATTTAACTAATTTTAGTTTTAAAGTACATGTTTTGGGTGAAAGAATTAAGAAAGTGTTTTCTTTTCTTTTTAGAGCAATGTTTGGAGAATGTGGATTAGACTTAGAATTTATTTGCCAATTTTTTTTGTGTGGGTGTTAGTGTGTGTTGTGTGTGTGTGAGGGAGATTTGGGGAGAGTGAAAGAGACAGATGGAGAGTGAAAGCTAAGGGACTTTAGTATATTATATTGCATCACTGGCGGACTTCAGATATTCAGAAGATGGATCCTGTCTTTCATTACCATGTTCAGGTCAGCAATCTCTATGACACACATCAGTGGCGCTATCTTCTAACTGTGTAACTGGTTTCTTGAAAAATTCAAATGTTGAAAGGAAGACACTAATTACTAATTTTATCTCACAGTACTTTTATGATATTCGTGTTTGTCAAATAGTGCATGCTGACTCTAGGTTTCCAGTGAGGACCTATTGAATGTTCTCGGCAAAGCTGGTTTATTTGTTTTTATAAAACAAAAAGAAAAAAAAGGTGATCTACTTCTTCCAGTTACATGGTTATAGCATGACACTTTCAATACAGTACTGTCGTCCTGTCTTCAGATTATTCATACCAGCAGTACCCTGAGCAGCCCAATATCTTTGCACCGGTTTCTCAACCTGAGCGTGCTGGAGCTGCGGAAAGTTCCCATACACATGGTGGGGGGCATGCATGGGCTGAGGGCTTCTCTCAAGACCTTGATCGTGTACCGCTGCCTGGACAAGGTCAAGGTAAAATCATCTTATATGTGATAGAATCAGAATGGAAAAAGAAAATTTTTTGTTTATTTATTGTCTTTTATGTAAGGATTTTTACAAATTTTAAAACGGTTTTTAAATTGATGCTCACACATTTCTGACTGCACATGAGGATTGCTTGTGCTCATATTTCATCCATTATGTTGATACACAGGGATTACCTAATTGAAGTTTTATTGCTACATTTTAATATTACATTTCATTACTACAGTAATTTCTTGTGCAGCTAAAAATGTAGGGGGAGCACACTTACAGTGATGGGGCGTAGTGAAGGGCTAAAGGGCTTGAGCCTCATCCACTCCCACCCCCACCTCCCAACTCTTTCCCTCCGTAAATGAATATTTCTTCTAATAAACGAGATAATCTGTTGAAACCGTTAAAACTGTTTCAGAATCTTCCTCCTCCGCCTGTAGTTGTATGCGGTGAACACACGCGCTTGCTCGATTATCCAACCACTGTAGTCATCGCTTACAACGATAGTAACCTAACAGCCAATCAAATGTGTTTAGGGCTCAGCAAAGGATGAGCCGATTCCCACGGTCCTTTCTTAATGATGCTCTTCTTGAAAAAAAGTTAAAAAACAAACGAGAGCCCGTGGAAACTGTTGTTAGAGCTCTCTGCCAGCCCAGACAATGGGGGGAAAGTATTTAATTAATTCATTCATTTTTTGGTAAGTGTTTTACGGCGCTCGCAACTTTGTGAGTGAGTGTGTGAATGAAACATACTCACACATATATCTTGAATGTCCTCTGATCCAAGGAAATCTTAACTTTGAACTCTACCTACCCTGATTTCTCAGCCCCACCCACATTTAGAAACTGTCACCGCCACTGCACTCTTATTATATAATCTAAAACACAAATTAAAGTGCTATAGTGCTCTTTCAAATGTAAGTCACTTGGTTTGAATAGAACAGCAGCAAAGTGATTCTACACAGCTGATGAAGCTCTGAATGAACAACTGATTTAAATGGGTCGTGAAGAAAAATCTAGTATCAATAATAATGATTCTGATGACGTTTATTTTTATGCATGTGAAATAGTGGGAGATTCTTGATCTGATGATAGTGACAGGGTTGATAGTTAGACGTCGTATTCAGAGTTAAGTACACAAAGACATAATGTTCAGGAAACGAGTACACAAAAAAGAAATGAGAAATGTAGTGGTGACATGTAAGACTGCTGTTCATGTAGATTACAATACATTTCTGTTGAATCTTCAATCAAACATGATTTTGCATGCTTTGGAGGTAGGTACTATTTGGCTGTTTCGTGGATTTAGCTCATTTACAAGTTTTTCCCTGGAGCAATGGTCTGCAATCACGTTTATAATGTAATTGTCTTTTCCTTTCTAGAAGTTGACATCATTTACTTTAGAAGCTGGTCTTTTTTTTTTTTTGGTTGCGAGTTTGATTATCAGGACAGTAACAAAACTTGATTCTTCTCCAGGGAGAAATTTGTCTAGAGTCTGAGGTGTAGTGGTACTAGGTGCTTTGCTGCCACATGCAAGAGACAAGAATTCAGTTCTGGAAGGGGAGAAATTTTTTATTCTCAGTCTGTTTGCTGGAATGCTGTATCCCTCTCAGCCTGGGTTCTTGACAGGCAAGGTTGGAAGTTTGCCTCCTATTATATCATGATCTAAATTTTGTGTATGGGGTGTGTAGAAAGACCTACATACAAAAAGAAAAGGATTCCGAGGGCTTCCATTTCACAAGTATTAACTATTCTATCTCCACCGACATCTACAGCACAGTGGTTGCGCTCTTCATCCAGTACTAGTACACCAAAGGCATGAGTTCAATTCCCACGTGAATATCTATGTCTGCTGAATTACAGCATGACAGTGACAATCTTTATTCATCTCACTGGGAGAAGTTTGTCTTGGTCCTTTACCATGGCAGTAGTGTATTAAAGGTCAGGTGCACTCACGCATAGAAACAAGAAAGGACAGAAATATAGGGATCCCCCGAAATAATCCACTCTGGTCTGTCTGTCTGTCTGTCTGTCTGTCTGTCTGTCTGTCTGTCTGTCTGTCTCATTTTCTCTCTCTCCCTCTCTGTCACTCTCTCTCTCTCTCTCTCTCTCTCTCTCTCTCTCTCTCTCTCTCTCTCTCCCTCTCTCTCACACTTTCCTTCCCTTGTTATGCATTTCTTTTTCTATATATATGTACTCCCTGACTGGTAAACTTTTACAGTTTCCGCCATGATAAATTATATCATCTTTTGTTGTGGTGTTTCTCCCAGGACCTGCTGGAGTGCTGCGGCGGTGACATGACTGCCCCCATGACCTGGGCACAGCTGCAAAATGTGTCTCTTTCATTTAATGCCATCTCTTGCCTTGACGAATCTTTGGTAAGATCAATTTTGTCAAAGATAGAGATAGAGGCTAAAGGATGGCCGCTGGATCGAAGAAGTAAAAGTTTAACTAAAGCAAGGTCAAAGAGTTCATAGAACAGAAGATGGTGTCAAATAAAGCAGTATTTACACAAACTGGTCTCAAATGGCTGTATGAAAGCTGATACAAACTTTGGGTAAGGTTGAATTTTGTAAAAATAAAAAATGTGAGAGTTTCATGTTAATTTAATCTAACACTAGCTAATGGAATAGCTAAGAAGAAAAATAACGAAGTCCACTGACCTTGTTTGCAGAAAGTGAAATTTGAACTAGGTACCTAAGCATGTGATGCAAGCACCCTTCTTCAAGAATATGGAGCCCCCTGATGTGCTAAGAGATTTGTTTATTTGCTGTATTACTTACGTGTACACAATGTAGGAGTGGAGCACTTATCAATAATTCGAGATATTAAGCAGCCTTGACATTGTTAGCAAATTATGTGAGTTTACATTATCTGGATCCTGCTATATTGCAAAGTTTATTTCCCTATTGTATTGTATCTTTGGCTTTATAGACCTTAACAGTGCTGGTGTGATCTAAAGCGTGCTGCCCCACAAAGTCTTATTGTATATTGTATTGTGTTCTTCGCCTTTTTAGACTTGTTGGCAGAGCTTACACTATCTGGATTCTTCTACGCTACAATGTCTTACTTACTGCTTTAGGCATGCCTCGTGTACTATGTCTTCACATAAACAGACTTTCCATTAACCCTTTTGATATGATGCATTTTGCATTCCCTAATACTTCAATATGTGGAAAATTGTGCAATTCTGTTTCATCTCAAGTGTGGCAATAGGAAATTAAAGGGGTTAATGAGCTGACATTATCTAGTAACACCTCTAATCTTCAGCATTCATATGACCTATTTGTGTTACAAGTGCCGTAAAACTCTTCCTAAAACTAAATAGACAGACTTTTCTTTACTCCAGACACTGCATGGTGAATTCTGACAGCTTTTCACATTTCTGTTGTATTTTTTTTTTGTCATCAGCGTCTTCTGCCATGTCTGGAGAGCCTTGACATCAGTCACAACACTATCCAGAGCTGTGAGGGCTTTCTAGAGGTTAGTAGTGAGGATTGATTGAATTCATAATATCTCTGATTCAAGAATCAGAACATTCCAAGACACAGATTTAACAAATTCTGATCTCTGAATTGAAATTGAGATCTTTTAAGGTCTTTAACCTAGTGGTTCTCAGATGGTTTTGTCAATGTGCGCAAAATGTGCACATTATTTATTGGGTTTGGTAACTGAGAGCAGTGTCAGTGCAGAGCAGGTAACCAAACGGGCAACCATCTGCTACTAGCCTGCTCATTGCTCGAGGCACTTTAGAAGGAAATATTGGCCCAACCCTAGAAAAAGAGACCCAAAACTTTATGGGGGCCTGGAGGACCTGTGGCAAACAGCAGCCTTCGCTTTAGAGACTGGGATGTCCATTTTGAGATGAAATAGAAGAAGATTTATTACCAGATTATTTACTTGAATGTTTTGCATAGTAAATGACAGAGTAATGCTTTAAAAAAAAATTAGATTCGACCCTTCGGCCATATTGACTTATTCGGAGTTAGCTTCTTGAATTCAATGATAATTCTAGAAGTCCTTTTGAATCTGCCTACCCTGGCATAGCAGTGTTAGTTTCTTTAATAGACCAGGGAATGTTCACCTTAGTGCTTGACAATTACTTGAGACTTTTTATCGTTTTGTCGTTTTCATTTAATTTTGTGTTTAACTTAAATATGTAATTCACAAGAATGTTTAGACGCTACACACCTAGCACAGGACCAAAACTTGCACCTCCCCTCGACATCCTAAGGGTACCAGAGGAAGGAAAAAGTAAAAGTAAAAGTAAAGTTGAGATGTCAGGCATAGCTCGTGTCCACTTATGTTCTCATGGCCTTTTAGTATGTAATATCCTCTGTTGTTAAGAATTACTTAAAGATGCAGTCTCCATTGAAGTAATCAGAGAAGCTGAAGTGTGAGCAAATGAATGAAAGTTGCTTATTGTGGTAGATGTAGTGTTTTGCTTGGTACTTTTATTGTTTTGAAAAGAAGAGAAAGACATTTGCTAGTGCATTTCTTTGACTGATGCATTAAACAGCACAAACTCTTTGCTTTTTCTCTTTTCAGATTTTAGGCGATGTTAAGTCGATAGCTCTGGCCTTCAATTCTCTCACAACTATTCCAAAGATGTCCCTGTGTTCTAGGACATCGCTTGCCATCCTCATCTTAAGGGGAAATAACCTTGACAACATAAGTGGTAAGTGGATATGATGCTTGCTCTTGCTCTGTTGTCTGATGAGAAAAGATGTGCCATTGGTAGAATAGATCAGATCAGATTTGGTCGGAAATTTCACTAGCCTGTTTATACCTAAAGACCTCTGTTTTTCTTCTTCCAATTTGTCCCAGCAGTCTATGAAGGCCTTTCACACTCTGTGCAAAGAAAAGGTCAGACCCCCATGGTGTCGTGTGACACATTGTAGCCTTTTGATTGGCTCTTGGCCCCTGTTTTCATCAAATGTACTCAACCGTGACACAGAAAATCAGTCATGTTTGATTTGGGGAGGGGGGGGGGATTTGATGAAAGTTTGCCAAACAATTTTGACCCTTTATGAAGGAGCCCTCAAGTGAATCAAACTGTACCAGACAGGGATGTGACAAAATGTTTTGCCATGTGCACTATGTATTAGACCCTGGACTACAGTGGTGATGACTTCAGTTCGAATCTAGTTTTGAGTCTCATCACACTTTTGTGGGAAGTGTCTTGTTTCAAGAAGTTTTTCAAATTCAAGAAAGTTATTGTTGATGCTTCTGTTAATTCATTCTTTCAAGGTATATTGTAATGAAGACCTCCCTTTAATTTCAGTAGTATGGCAAGCATGTATTACTGTCCCTTGATTTGGTTTTGACTTTTTGTTTTGTCCGCAATGTGTTTCTCGGGCAAGGCATGACAGTTGTAGTTCAAAAATGGGTTCTTCCTCATTCTCAATGACAGCAGCTAGACAGTCAGTCCGATGTTGCGCGCAAAAACTGTGCAGTCCGCTTCAAATCTGAGAGACTGCCATAGAACTTTCTCTCAAGTGGAGTCACATTCTGCCAAGTCTGTTTACGAAGGGTGTCGTAGCTCGGGTAGTGTTGACGGATATGATTAGCGTCCTCTTGATGGTATCCACATTCACAGATCACGGACTCTCCCACTTTTAATTTAGTGTACATACGGTGTTTGAGTCCAAAAATGGGTAAATTATGGTTGCCTTTTGCAAAGTCATGTTTATACTTGACATCATCTGGATATGTGGTGTATTGTTGCACTATGTGTATAATATGTCTATGTGGAACAACTCTCCCTTCAAAGCTTGTTACAATGTTCATTTATCTTTTTTGTCTCTTCTTGCCTTTCGAACGGGTTTCTAACAATCAGTGTAGTTTACTTTATGTTAAGCCTTAGCATTGCTCCTTTTTACTGAGCAGGTGGTTGGAGGATGCCACTAACTGCTAGGCCCTATTTCTTTGCTTTCCCTCTTTTGATTCTGTCTGTCTGTCTTAATCTGTCCCTGCTCTAAATGACCGTTGTGGCGATATGCTTTTTTTTACTCAGACAAACAAACAAACCTTTTTACGGTGATGTACGGCTGTCTCAGTGAAGGATAAGTAAGAAGTAACAGATGTGAAACTGCTAAACGTTTTATTCTATTTGTTGTTTGCAGTCAGGCTTTGAAGTGTGTTAACTGTTCTGAAGGAATGTATTCCAGTTTATATTTTGCCACTGCCATTTATTCTCCTCTTTTTTTAGATGTACGGTTGTGTGTGTAAGTGAAGGATAACTAGTGAGTAGTGAGTGGTAATCATCATTATCACTGCCTCTCTCACCTTGGATCAGGGTATAGGCCATGAACAAACACTTTCCATCGGTCCATATCCTGGGCTAGTACCAGGTGGTGAAGGTGCTAAGTGTTTCATTCTGTTCTTTGGGGGGGGGGGGGGGGGGGGGGGGCTCCAGTGGCTAAGGGAGTAGTGAGTTCAGATTTTTAAAAGATGTCAAGCAAGTGTCGGTGACATGGGGTTAATGTGGGTGGTCACTGGGATGTGTCCCTGAGCAAGACATGACAACCCTTGCTAAAAAAAAAACGGCGCTGCTCAGCGGCGAACAGCAATGGCATATTTGTGAAATTGTTCTGTTTTGATGTAATATTGTGTATTTATATATGTGTTTATGTATTTCTAATTATATATTTATTACATATGTGAGGCAGCGTGGTGAAATGAGGCGCTCGTCAAAATAATGAACTTGAAGAGACAGGCGATTTTCCGTGTGCTTGGCAATTTTTATCTAATTTTTGTTTTTTGGCTAAACATCTTTCATGTCCATTTAAAAACATATCTTTGTGATTTTTACTGAAAAACATTGATTAACTTCAAGCAGTTCATGCAGTACTATATCGTATAAATATATATGATGGCTGGTGATGTGGTATTTCGCCCATAAAATACATTTACTTTTATAAAGAAAGATTTTGTAAGGTATTTTTATCAAATAAAAATGATTAAATAGACCAGAAAATAGAAAAGAGGTATTAAAATTGATGGTTTTATAATAAAATTCTCGCTCCAAAATGTCTAGTTTCAGGGGCAATAACCGAGAATTTGTAGAATGCACAAGAACGGCCCTTATTTTTTAAATTTTTCAACAGAATTAGGTGTCTTTTACACATTACATGCAGAATTGAATATACTTTCTCGTCAAATTAATGTTAAGGGGAGGAGCGACCCTTGATTTTGCAGATTTTGGGTCAGGCTATGCAAATTTTCTGTTGGCTGATTTTTCAAGATCAACCAGTTTTTTTGTCCAAAAATAGCATGGATACATTTGAGAAAGTGTTTATTCTCCACGTAAATTGCCTTTAAAAACATGACGATGGGTTAATATAGTGAATTTTCACAATAATAGTCAGTTTTCGCAAAATGTAATTTTTTTGCCGTTTTTTCCCTACCCCTTCCTTAGTTTTCATCATTTTGAGATGAAACTTTCAGGAAACATAGATGGCAAGGCTGCCATCAATGTAACAAAGAGATATTTGCGAAAACAATAACACTTTTCCATTGGTAAGCGATTACGCAACCTAAATTTTTTAAAAGTTTTTTTATACTTTGGGAAAATTCTCATATATTTTTTTCTTTTGCACTTATTGAAATAAGCTTGCTGTTACTCTGATAGGGTCTAGTTCAGGTATACTCTCACCACATTTGGTCAAATTTGATTGGTAAATAAGAAAGCCTTAGGGATTTGAAATTCATTGTTTATTTTCAAGATGGCGGCCGTTTCCATAGCAACCGTTGTTGCTGTGCCAAAAAAAAATGGCGCATCAAGAGATTTTACTATGCCTAACTTATATGTGTACTTAGATTTGATCTTGGGCAACAGACATAGAAAATGGTCCTCAAGGGTAGCTCCTCCCGTTAACTCTAAATTGTAAAAAAAAAATTTCTTCTTTTTCATCTTTGGGGCAGTCCGATTTCTGTTGCTGCATCTATTCCTAGTAACACAAAAAATATGTCACACCTCAAGAAAGCTTGACAAATATGAAATCTATTTACCTAAGTCTGAAAGACCACCTAATTCCCTTTCTATTTTAATATATGATATGTCTATCTGGAACAGATAGATTATTGCAGGAGGCTTGAGAGCAAAAAATCATGGTATGACATTTCCAGATTCAAGGGCAATAAATAGGAATTGTAGGATGTACTAGAATGGCTCTCATTTCTTTATTTTCCAACAGAATGGTGTATCTTTGACACATATTATGCAGAACTGAAGGCACTTTTGCATGAAACAATTGTAAACTCTAAATTCTGAAACACTTTTTTTCCCCTTCTTTGTGACTGTTGGAAAAGGGATTTCTGTCTTTGTTTCTATTTTTAGTAACAAGAAAAAAAGGTCCCACTTCAAGACAGCTTGCCAAAAAGGAATCTATTGGCTAAGTCTGAAAGTTCACCCAGTTCACTTTCCATTGATATATAATATGTCTACCTGGAGTAGAGAGATTGTTGTATGAGGCTTGAGGGTATGGAGGACCCCTGAAATATAAATAAAAAAGCCAAAGTAGGCAAAACTGCTGGGGGGAATTAAGAAAAAATGGAATTCATCAAACTTTGGCAGCCATTTTCTCTCTATTTTTACCTCCGGAACCAGGCTACCCCCACCTCCTCCAATTGCTAATATCTCGACTTCCATTAAAGATAGGTGGATAATTTTTTCACTGAAAGCACAAATGAACAAGCTTTAAGATGATACCAATAACTCCATGTGCCCAAAAATTGACGAGCGCCTGATTCCACCGCGTCGTAACACATATGGTATGTTTGTCATTGTAACCCAAATTTCATGTTGGAGATCAATAAAATGTAATTTTTTATTTGTTATTTTTTGCTTGTTGTCTACAGGCTTGGAAGTGTTAGCTGTTCTACAGGAGCTGGACTTGGGAGAGAACTGTCTCAATGATCACAGCTTACTAGAGCCTTTGCTGTCACTGAACAGGCTAAAGCAGGTGATTGTCCAAACTGTTTTGAACTAGATTAACTTTTTGTTTTGTTTCCTATTTAGAAAAGATTGTAGGTCTTGATCGTCTTTGGGGATTTTGTGGGTTTTTTGTTTTTTCTTTGCATTTTTTTTTTAATTAAGAAAGGATTTTACTCTTGTTTCTTTTTTATTTTAAAGAAAGATTTTTTTTCTTTTGTGTGTGTGTGTTTGTGTTTATGAAAAACATTTTTGGTTATTTTTTGGTCAGATGCTATGCCTTTTTCTTTACTCTTTTTCTGTTGTTTCTGTTTATTTGTCTTGCTTATTCTTAGCACTAAATTACAGTTTGTGGGTTGTTGTACTTCTGTTTACTCAAACTAAAAACTTAACTTAAATGCTGTCTTTGCAAAATCCCTTCAGAGTAATTTTGATAGAAATGTAGGGCCTGGAGTAGCTGGTTGGAGGGTACTTCTTCACTTTCTGTATGTTGTTTCTATCTGTCACCTATCTTTTGCCGTTCTTTTTTTCTTGCACTAAATCACTGTTTCTGTGTCAATGTGCTTCTCTTACTACGAATGACTTTACTTCTCCTAGATACCATGTGAATTTCCTGAGTGGCTTTAACTCAGCTTGTGGGTGGTTGGCAGGTGCTCTGGTGTGGTCTGCTCCTTCTTTCCTATCAAAGATCTATCGTCCTTATCTCACTTCTTTCTGTCTTTCTTTTTTTTTTTTTTTTGGTCACTCTCTTGTAACACCTTTAATCTTCGGCAATTATATGACCTTATTGTGTTGCAAGTGTCACTTACTAAAACATACGTTATGACTCTGCATGTGTGGAGGGTCAGGGTACTCCTTCTTTATGTTACCAATTACCGTCTGGGGTTTCTTGGGGGGGAAAAATTTAAAGATATATCCACAAAAGGAAATGTGATTTACAATGGCACACATATAAATGGAAATAAATTAATATATGTGAGGTGTGCTGACAAAAGGAGTTACTTCTCGCAATCCACAAATGGAGACATTGGCCAAAAATAGACACTAGGGTCAAATTTGTAGATTTCATATTGATGCCATATTCTTTAAGTATAACATGTCTTTTATTATTTCATACTGACTTATATATTGTAAAAACTCCCCCTATACATATATAAGCATGATGTACTGTTTCCATAAATAAGGCTTGAATCCGAGAAGTAACTCATTTTGTCAGCACGCTTCACATATGTTTATCAGTGCTCTTCTTCCTCTTTTCTGTCCCCTCTGTTTTTATCTGTCTGTCTGTCTTACTTTTTTCCCAGCTCTGTATATATTATTATGTTTCTTTTTACTTAAAGTTGGTTTTGAATTGAACTGTTATTTCTGGAGCTTTGTCTGTTATATAACCTAACAGTGCCGAAAGGGGCATTTTAGCCTTACAATTACCAATTATATTACATTTGTGTTGATTGTGTTTCTACGACTACTCTGATAGTTATGGAACTTTCATTTGGTATACTTGAAAAAATACCCTTTTGATACTTGGGTAATGTTCCTTCGATATATGTGGAATGTTCTCTTCGATACTTGTGATGTGAAATTTTTCTCTGATTGTGTTGCTGTGACAACTGTGGAGCAAATGTGATCTCTCTGTCCACAGCTCCATCTTGATGGAAACCCTTTGTCCTACCATCAGCATCACCGAGGTCTCACCGTCTGCCACCTTGCACGGTCAGCTGCCACCCTCGATGTAGGTTCCCTTGTCTGTGCTCCTCTCCGCCCCCTGTTTCAAAATTTTAAACTACACAACGTAGTGTCTCGCAATTGGGTTGGACTGGTATAATAGTGTTATATTTTATGGGAAGGGCAAAGGTGGGGGTTATACTTTACTTTTATTATTTTCTGATGGTCCATTTTTTTGTGTCAGTAAGAGAATGAGAATAAGAATCATTACTGATGTCCGATGAACTGAATTTCTGGTGAAATGTCAATCACAGTTAATGATATTCTTTTTTATGTATTGGACAAACCATCAGGCCGTAAAAATGTGCCTTGTTGAAGCACTGCTTTGTGGCTGTTGTGTTTACATGAAGTTAGTTTTTCCCAGCCTCTCTTTCAGGGACTTTGTTCTTTTTCTCTGTATTGTCTCTTAATGTGTGGCTAGTTTGAGGGCGCCACTGGTAGGTTCTACTTCTTTTTGTTGTATCTGTTGTTTTTGTCAATCTATCTTGTTTTTTAACCCCCGGGGCAGTGCCACTGACTGTAGTGTCTTTAGGCCATTCCCAAAGGAAGGACATTTCTCGTTCAAGCACTTAGAATTGTAAATGGGCTGATTCATCATGTCACGCTCATAACTGTGCCTGATCTGCAACAGGGAACTGCTGTTTTTTCTTTCTTAATTCTTACTATTGTCATTTTCCTCTACTTCTTTTGTATGTTTGTCACTCTTGTGACCTGCTATTTCTGGGGTGCCTTGATGGTCGAAGCAGACCTTGTGCTGTTGAAGCTAGAGAGGTGAGCAGAGTAAGTCTGATTCCCTGTAAGGACTTCTCTTTTGACACCCACCCCTTGGCGCTCATATAACCTTACGCAGTTGCGAGCGCCGTAGAATCCTCTACTATAATAATAATAATATCTTGTTTTTTACTTTCACTAAATGAGAGTTATGTCAAGTGCTTCTCTCTATTTGAACAGTCAAATCAACAAATGTGGGTGGTTGGTATTATACATGTATGTAGAGCATGACTTTCCTGACATTAAATCTAAACTGTGATGGGTTCGATGTACTCGTACTTCTCGTTATGCAAACAAACAAACGACAAACAAAACTGTGTATTCTATTTTCAGTTTGAGCTCGACAAGAAAAAGCTGATAGCATCAGAACTTTCGGTAAGGGAGCTTTACTTGTTTGAATTTTGTACATTTCCAAATGCAATTATGTTTTTGCCTGTGGTTGTTACATTTATTTACGTGATTGCATGTTTTTTGTGTGAGGTTGCTTTTGCAAGTTACAGCATGTGATGCTGATGAAGTAATTTGAATCGTGTTATGCTGTGCCTGTAGTTTATAATGAATTATATTTTATTGATCCCTGTAGGGCAATATGGGTTACAATGGCAAACATACATGCATAAGTACATAATTATAAAAACATACATATGTACACAATATTACACCAATACAGAACAATTTCACAAACATGCCATTGCTGGTCGCCGCTCTTCAACACCCTGGGTTTTTTTTAGCTGGGGTTGTCATGTCTTGCTCAAGGACACACCCCAGTTACCACCCACCTAAACCCTGTGTCAGTGACACTTGCTTAGCATTACTTTTAAATCTGAACTCACTGCTATATTAGTGGAACGTTATATTATGTAAATAAGAATAATGAGGGTCTGACTATTATTGTCCTCTAGTTTCTTATTATATCATGTTCCAAGTTGATTTTAGGATCTCCAAATTTTCAGTTTACTCACCAAATTAGTAAAATTTACTCTATAAAAGACAAATTGGAGAAAAAGTCATATATACTGGCTCTTGTACAGCCATGAGAACTTTCCATCAGAAGTTCAGAAGGATATAAAAGTGCGAAAATTGTATTTATCCGTACATTTATATTTGTCTTCCCAGAATGTTTTGTCCATGCGATCAAGACAGCAGCGCAGAGGTCAGAGGTCAGACCAGCCTGCATCCCCAGTGACCCCTGTGGCAAGAGACAATCTGCCGGACCTGGGCGATGCGGGGTTGTCAGGGAGCTCAGCTGCCACTTCTGAGGCTGAGAGGTAAAGTTAAGAACTGCAACTGGACCAAAAGTACTCCAATTTGACAAAGAAAACATTTGGCCTAAGAGAACATCATGTACGATTAAAAAATATTTGTACAAAAACGAGAAAATAACTGCAAAATCAAAACGACTCAAGTTTGAAAACGAAGAAATATTGACAAAGAAAAACAAATGTAGGGCCAAAATTACCTCAAATTTAATCGAGGAGACTCCTGCTTCACCAAGAAAAACCACTTTAGTTTAATTAAGAAAACATTTTTCTACTAGAATTAGAAATCAATGCAGAACCAGAAATATGCAAATTTTGATAAGAAAACAACTGTGGAACAAAAATATGTGGATTTGATAACGAAAACTGCAGAACCAAAAATACCTGATTTAAACAGGAAAATAGGCGCAGAGCAAAAGCAATGGAGGAGTGAAACCAGGTGGAAAGCAAAGAGCTGCTTAATACTTTGTTTGCTATGGCAGCTCATGTCGGCCACGCACACAGTTATCACTTCCCTGCCTTTCTCACTCTGCATCACATCAGGTAAAGGCCATGTACAAATATTTCTCACCACCTTACCCTCTCTTGGGCTAGCCTCTTGATATTGTGGCACTTCCCACTTTTCTGTACATCATTCTCTGTGACTCTTCTCCAGGTGCCATATAGCCTTCCCCTTGATCTCTTACCCATGTACACAGTGCTAGGAATGTAGAGCAGAAAGCTAAGTGGCACATAGCCTTCCCCTTGATCTCTTACCCATGTACACAGTGCTAGGAATGTAGAGCAGAAAGCTAAGTGGCACATAGCCTTCCCCTTGATCTCTTACCCATGTACACAGTGCTAGGAATGTAGAGCAGAAAGCTAAGTGGCACATAGCCTTCCCCTCGTTCTCTTACCCATGTTCTCAGTGCTAGGAATGTAGAGCAGAAAGCTAAGTGACGTCTCTATTATGAACTCGAGTGACCACCAGAATGTGGGCTACCCGTCTCCTTCTGTTCACCAGATTAGCACCTCAGCCAGCATTAGGTGGTTTAACCCAATGGGTAACTCAGTTGAACTCAGGTGCAACGGTCCATAAGGCTCAGGGGGATCAGAACTGAAAGTAAAGGGTTAAAGAAGAACCAAATATTCCCTAATTTTTCCAGTTTCAAACAATTTCTTGTGTAATTTTTAGTGGGTTAAGTAATACACCACCAGGTGTAAAAATGTTTTTTTGGGACTGGAAAAAACAAGAGTGAGGTCATGAAAAAGGGTAGTGTAGTTAACACTTTCCCTACTGCGGCTCGCGGACCTTGCCTCGCTGAACCGAGAGCAGCAAAATACGGCTCGAGTGGCTTGCTATCTATTCCAATCCAGTAATGAAAAGACACGAAATTCTCGACCGATCCACGTTTTCAAAATAATAGAATAGACTTCCTGTTAGCAGATACCAAAGAAAATATAACACTGAGAGACGGATTGTAGTCATTTCAGCGCTTTTTTTTGTCCCCTTTGAAACGTAAATATGTGGGAAAAAAGGGCTACCCTGACTTCAGTATATGTCTCATAATTTCCTTTCTATATTAGGTACACATACAGGACTTTCAGCATTTCTTCGCATTACTTGAGGCAACTTACTTTGAAAGTTTGAATTATACTGCTGTTGTACTTTTTAAGATATGACCTTTCAAAGCTGGAAAATTGTTGATTTCATATGACGCCTTCGATATTGCATAATCATTTTTAGAAACCCCAAAGTAGTATAATTGGAATAAATCTTCAATATTGTATCGCCATCTGATAGATTATTTTTTAACCTTCAGTTTGATGAGCCATAAGATATGGTTTGTGTGTGTTTAGTTGGATGTTTTGACATTATCTTTTGGCGGGGTAGGGGCGTAAAAATAGGTAAGGGGAAAGCCCTGGGCCAGTAGTGGATTTTGGCCTGGTAGGGAAAGAGTTAATTAGTTAAGAGATGTAAATTTTCTCTGAAAAGACAAGGTGGAGGGACTTGAGAAATTTTTATATGGCCAAGACTCCCTCTCCCTCTCTCATTTTCTTTTCTCACTCACCACCCCTCTCATTTCTTTCTTTCCTCTATCTTCTCACTCACTCCTCCTCTGTCTCTTGCTCTCTCTTTTCACAGGCGGCCTCTTCTCACTCTTTCTCTCTCTTTTCTCTCCCTCCTTCCCTCTCTCTTTCTCTCACTTTCTTTCCCTCTCTCTCTCTCACTCTCTCTCTCTCTCTCTCTCTCTCTCTCTCTCTCTCTCTCTCTCTCTCTCTCTCTCTCTCGTGAGATACCAATAGTTTTTCTTTTCTGCCCTCTGCCTGGGACAATAGCCGGGGTACAGTAACACCACGCAGGAATCGCCGCAAGAAACGCCTGAAGCCGAGATATACGGAGATACAAGACATGGACCAATCAGAGGACTTCTCTTCCAGTCGTGATGGGACTCCAGGTTTGTCACAGCTGTGTATGTCTTACTCCCCTATAAAATTAGTTAAAGGATGATTGGCTGGTGCGTTGGTGTGTTTTGCTCTTTCTTTCCTATCTAACATCTATCGTCCAGTTCTCTCCTCCTTTTTTATTGTTTATTACTCTCTTGTAGTACCTCTAATTTTTGGCACTTATATGACCTTATTGTGTTGCCAGTGCTGTAAAAACTCTTACTAAAACATAAACCAATTAGTTCATTAGCATGCTGGCCTGTTCTGCCCTGCCTGTCATGATCAACTAGGGCTTAGAGGGATACAGCATCCCAGGAGACAGATTGAGATACTCGATGAAAAAGACTTCCCCACTCTGGTATCAAACTCATGTCTCCAGGGTGCAGTAGCAAAGAGCTTGGGTTGTTGCTCTGGAGATGCTGGTCCTAGGATTTATGTTCAGAAGATGGGACTAAGTTTCTCCTTTGTTTTATGATTTGAGATAGTTTTAGTTTTTGAATTGAGAACCAGTTTCATGAAATTAATTGCAGAAACAAAAAATTGAAAAAAGTAATATCATTTGTTTTATTTTTTCATGTCTGGAATTGATGATAACTCAGTATAGATCTTCTTGTAAGTTCTTTGAAGGGACTACTGTATAGAGTAGATATATGCATATTGTGTGACTGTATAACAATTTCTTTGATGGTAAGTCATAATTATTTCTACGAACTGTCATGTGTTTTAATAAAATTGAGTCTCATAGGATCACACCACGAGTTGTTTATATATAATATACAGTTAAACTTGTGTAAGACGGCCACCCATTGTCAAGGAGAAAAGTGGCCGCCTTAGGCAGGACTGATCAAGATGAAAAAAACAAACCATTCCCATCTGATGTCCCAATCGAAAGTAGCCGCATTGTTGTTGTTGTTGTTGGTTTGTATTTTGTTTGTAATTTTTTTGTTGTTGCTGATTTTGCACAAGGGTGACAATAAAACGAAATGTATCAGACGAGGAGGACCTTGTGCCATGTTAAAACAAACACATGGGTCGCCACCACTCGGAGAACGAGCGACGCTTCTGTCACAAGTTCATGTTGACGTCCTTTGTTACTTTGTTACAGACTGGGTAAACAGTGACCCCTCATCTCACTTACGATTTGTGTATGAGTTCAGGGTGGGGCTTATGGGTTATGAGGGATCACACACCTACCTCACCAGCAGCTGAAAATTGGTAGCTATTGGTCAACAGTAGGAGGGGCCTACGCAACATAATCGGTTGGAGGGACTACCTAACAACAACGACAGGTGATTGAATTACGACGGCTTGCCCACAACGCCAGGGGCCAATGCACAATTTGTGACAAAACGTGATGGAGTCACTAAGGTGGCCGTCTGAGACAGGTGTTATTGCTTAATGTGATAGGGGTTGTGTGTTAAAATATGGTGGCCGCAGCCGCGTTGGACAGGTGCCTGTTCTACACAGTTGAATTATATAGAAAAAAAGTAAGGGGGGAAATGGAAAGTGGCCGTCTTATAGAGGTGGTCGTCAGGGCAGGTTTGATTGTATATGTGAGGCAGTTTTGGTGAAATCAGGTGCTCGTCAAAATAATACAATTGAAGAAACCAGCTTTTTTCTGTTCGTTTGGCAGCTTTTATTGAATTTTTGTTTTATTGCCCATCAGCTTTTGAGTTCATTTTAAAACATATTTCTGTGTGGATTTTTGTGAAAAACGTTGCTTAAAGGCACAAAAAATGTAATTTTGTAGTTCCGAAGGACTCTCAAGTTTTGGAAATCACGTAACGTTGGCGACCATTTTCTCGCTAATTTTACCTCTGAAATCAGGCAACCACCTCTTCCTTCTGTCACAAATGTCTCAGCTTCTATTCTAGATAGACGAGTATTTTTTCATGGAAAGTAAGATGATAAACGAACAGGTTTTAAGATGATACCAATAACGCCATATACCCAAAAATTGACGAGTGCCTGATTCCACGGCGTTGTGACTCATATCTCCTAAATTACCTTGATTGTTTTGATAGAGGTGTAAAACAGTTATAATTATAAATTATCTAGATTATGTCAGTACGGGCATAAAACAGTTATGATTATGAATGGTCTAGTCTATATTGTGTCGATGGGGATTTAAAATAATTAGGAGACTGCTGAGAACATCGTGGAAGGAAAAGAAATCAAATGAGGTAGTGCTTGAGGAGGCCCTCATTGGACACTCATTGTTAAAAACAGTTAGGAAACGACAAATGCAGTTTTTGGGACACCTGAATAGATATAAAGGTCTTGAACATCTAGCTCTGAATAACAAAATCGAAGGCAAACGAGGCCGAGGTTGGCCTAGAGCAACCTACTTAGGGAACCTAAACAAATGGGTAATGGGGAAAGATCAGGGAAAAGTAGCTTTTTTAAGAGCATCCGAGCAGAGGAATGAATGGAGAACCATGATCGCCGATGTCTGTCGCAGATGGAGCACTGGGTGATGATGATGATGATAATTATGGTCTAGATTGTGTTGATAAGGGCTTTTAACAGGTATGATTATCAATGGTCTTGAGTGTGTCTATGGGGATTCAAAATAATTATAATTATTGATGGTATAGATTGTGTCGATGGAAATGTAAAACAATTATAATCGTGATTTTTTTAGTGTCATCTCCGGCTGCTCGACGTCAGAACCTTGAGGACCTGATGAAAGCGAGGCAGGACGACGTGCGGAAGACAATGAAAGAGGTGGAAGAACTGAGGAGGCATTACGGGCCTAACTGGCTGCAGGTTAGATCCTTTTTAAAAAATCTTACCCTCTCTTCTGGCTTCTTATACTCTTCTAGCCTGCTGTTTCCTTTTCCTTGTTGTTGTCATTGTTACTGTTGTTGCTGCTGTAGTTTTGAATGCATATTTCACAACACACAGGGCATATTGTCTTCAAGGGCAATACTGCCTTTCCCTTCCCTCCCACAAACGGGCTTAACTGGCTGCAGATGAGATCTTTTTTTCCCTTCTACTTGTTTCTTGCAATGTTTCGTGATGTTGTTGTTGAAATATAAATTTGTGTGACCTTGTACACGTTATAGGTAATTTCAAAAGTGAAACTCCCAAAATGTGAAGGGCGTTAAACCTGTATAATTTCGTATTTCGCCCGTAAGGTATATATTTAAAAACTAGTAGGAGAAGAAGATTGATAGAAGAATAGTCAACTACATTTGAGTTTTAGTTTGAGAATGGACAAGTTGTAGTTGCTCCAGCAGTAACAGTAGTGGGAATACCAGTATTAGTAACAGTAGTTTGAAGAAAAATAGCAGTTTAGTTGAAGTAGTAGTAGTAGTAGTACTTGATAGAAAACAGTTTCAAGCAGTAAAAGAAGTTTTTGAGAGAAACAGTAGTTTTAATATTATTATTAGCAGCTGTAGCAGCAGCTGAGATAGTAGTAGATGTGTTAGCAGCACTTGTAGAAGTAGAGTACTTTATAGAAGAATAGTGTCGAGACAAATACACGTACGTGCACATCAGCTTGTAGTCTTTGTCATTAATTGGTGTGAGAATTGTTCCAGGCCATTGAGGACAAACGGCTGTTTGGCAAAACACCACAGCTTCCTGCATCCTCCGCCAATTCTCCAAGCAACAATGAAGTACAAGGAGAAAAGTCTAAGGTGTCTGCCTCTAGCCCGTCAGTAGCTAATGAGGCACAGAATGGTGAGGCAGACAAGGAAAGTGGTGTAGAGGTCATTGAGGCTGTGAGCTCTTCAGCTGGCTTCCCAACAGAAGACGACTTATACCTCAATGAGACCGTGAACCCCATCATGAGTGCCATAGCCAGGATGGCCGCTGGTCATTCTGCTGACGAGACAGAGGAATCGGGCTCTGTTGTGAGATTCCCAGAGTTCACAAGTTCTTCAGGTCTTTCTCATCTCGCCACCACGCCGCCAAGCGGTCGAAGTGATTTGATCGTTAAGCCCACGAGTTTAACGATCGTTGGTCCGAAACATCTTCCACGGTCCTCCTCCCAAGACATGACGCACTCCACACCGGAGAAAATCCAAGTTCAAAGTCGGGATTTTTCTGCTGAGGATTTCCCTCCCACCGGTGACACTGATCAACTGGATGCAATCATCTCAACAGGGGAAGACAAGGACCTGCTTGACCGAAAATCGTCCTCAACAGTTCCCGTCAACTCTCAGGAGAGAGGTGGGGGGTCAAGACCCAAAGTCACCTCTCAGTTGTCGATGAGTCTGAAAGAAGATGACGAGGCGATGTCTTTGAGACTGGCCCTAGCCAAGCAGGTTGCCTCTTTGTCTCCCATTAAAGCGGCAAATGAGACAGAGACGTCACCAGTAAAGACCTCTGAGATGAGCATGTCGAAAAAGACTGTTGTAGACCGCAGTATGAGTGAGCTAGACTACAGTGCTGAAGATACAATGACCTGTGAGTATCACAAATTCGTATGAAGTGAAAATACAATTTTGAAAAAAGACCTAAAAACGTCTAATGTCACTCAATGTTACAAGTTTGCATTTTGTGAAAATAAAGCTTTGTTTACCTTTTTGAGGAAAAGAAAATAATTTTCTCAGTTTCTCAATTTCTTTTTTGTAAAAAATGAAACTTTGTGTACCTTTTAGAAAAAAGAAACTTCTAATGCTCCATGGTATCACAAATTTAACGTTTTGTTAATTAAAGTAAAATTTTGTTTATCTTTTGGAAAGAAACCTCTAAATCCTTTAAGTGTCAAAGTTTTGCATTTTATGAAGGTTAAACTTAATTAACCCTTTTGAAGGAAAAAATAACTGCCTTCTTTATGTCCCATGTAAAAAAATCACATTGCTATGTCGATATCAAAGTTTGCACAACATGATCTTTCTCAAATTAAGACGTAAAGGTGATTTTTAGCTTGAAAGTTGAACTACAAGAAGCTGGAAATGATTGTCGTATCTTCAGGCTTGAAATGCTATATATGTACGGTAATGTAGTACACATCGTCATGTTATTTCTTCTTCCTTTCTCATCTCTCCAAGTAGAAAGACTAGCAAAACGATATCTATAATACAGTAGATTGTTATATTGTAGGTTTTTTTAAATGACCATTATCATACTGGCTTTTCTTTACAATACAATTTATTGTATTTGTTTTCCTACTTTAATTATTTTATTAATTTTTTAAAATTTCACTTGTTATGTCGATTTTCTTTGTAAAAATTTGTATTGGTTATTTGGATAAATCATGATGTTTATTTTATGTTTCTTCATGTATTTTTTCACAGTGGAGGAAGAGGAAGTGACAGAGGCCATGTTTGTCTGTCTCCCTGGCAACCACATCATCATCGTCACGACGACGGCCTCGCTGCTGGTGGAGAAGGACATCTCGGGGAACATCACGCAGACGCTGGACCTGAGTGCCCTGACCTCTGTCCGAGAGGTCAAAGGGTCGGCGGAGGAGCCGGCTGATGGTGGGAAAAAGAACCGCTTGGGACGACGCAGCGAAAAGGTCGCCCAACAGGCAGATGATGCTCAACAAGTGCGCCTCATTCTGGAGTTTGATTACATGAAGAAGGATAAACAACGCAGGGATTACAGCCTGGAGAAAATGGACGCGAAGGTGAGGAGTTATCGACAGAGAGAAACATGGAGAGGTAGTGCCACTATAAAAAAAACATCCATGAGGGAAATTTTGGGTAACGGGGGGGGGGGGGGGGGGGGGGGGGGGGATGCTTTTCACTTTCACAGAACTCAGCCTTGGTGGAAGAAAACAAAGGGATAGAGATTATTGTTGTCGAATGTATTCTATAATACAATCTATTTCATAACATTATTGGAAAAGAAAGTCATGGCTCGATGGGATTAGGCGCTTGCCAATTTTTGGGCATATGGAGTTATTGGTATAACCTTAAAGCCTGTTTATTTGCCAGTGTCTTTATATTGTCAAAACAAATGCAGGGGGGGGGGGGGGAGGGGGGAGGTAGGAAGTTGTCGTTTGTGAAGGTGATTGTCTTATACAGGTGGCTATTAGAGCAGGTTCTATCTTACCTCACCTTATCATTTCTCATCTTATCATATCTCACCTCGTCATATGTCACCTCATTGGTCACACCTCATCTGGGCTCCTGTCCCCAGATTCTGTGCGAGCGGTTGCAGCCGGTGTTGGACAGCCGGGAGGAACAGGCCCGGACCCAGTCTCAAGTCACCATGCAGGTCAGTGTCCCTCATGACTGGTCAGTGTCCCTCATGACTGGTCAGTGTTGCTTTCGTTGTCTGCTCTTCCTTGATATTGCCTTATTATAATGGGACGTGTACAATTTCTTATCGCAGGCAAGCCGCTCCCAGTGGCTCGCACGCTCTCGGAACCTCTGTTCTGGTGAGACGCTGGCAGCGTCATGGGCACTTTGTTTTACGACGATTTTGACCTCGAATCACTTTATGGCAACTACAAGAAACAGGTGTCTTTAACTGGGAGTTCATTCATTAGATGAAGAACTATCAAAATAGTTTCACTTTCTTTGAATTAATTACCAATTTAAATACATATGTGTCACTTTTAGATTTCATACCTAAAAGACAGTCCCAGCATAGTGGGTTTACCCCCCCCCCCCCCGGAGATAAAGAGTTAATTACTTTAGTAGGTACCAGAAACTAAATTTTCAAAGTAGCTGTATGCTAAATTTATCAGTTCCATTTGAAAGGCCTATATCCACTGAGCATTTTGGTACCATTCTTTATCCTCTCAGTCAATTTTTAAGAAAATGGTAGTCGTTTAAAATTTGATCAAATTTGTTAAAGTCAGTCACTGGCTGCAACCCCATGTCTGACAGACAATAAAAGAGTATCAAAAGCACTAAACATCTCCACATTAACAGAGTACAATCACTATAACAAATATATGGAGCCTAATTTTTTTCAAGACTGTGAGATCATTACAAATCAGTATTTATCGCCTCAAACACGATGATCTGTCGTTATTTCGACAAAAACACCGAGCGTTGACCCGGCCGGCGCCGCACCGGCCCTCGCGGCGAGCGAGTCGGCTCTATACTGTAGTGTACCCAGCGTGGGGGGTCACATGCTTTCTGAGTCTCGCGGATGGATTGTGAAAAATAATTTCAAACTGATTACTTTATTCTAATAGAAAATAAGCTGATCTTTTTTAGATATATTTTTTAAGCCGGTATTTTACATCTTATGTGTAAAAAGTGATCTTTAAACATTTTGACAGTATTTTTTAAAGCTTTCTATTTAGACGCCAAAGGCCAAATACATACCACGAGAAAGCCCGTTTAAAGCTCTACAGTTCTCTGCCAATGAAAAGACGATATTTAATCATCCCTCATACTTTTTCAACCGGCCGACCACGCATTCCGACCACGAGGGGCTTCGCTTTCGTCGGCGATTCTCCAGCTCCTACTAATCGGACATAAAAACAACTTACACCATTGTAACGAGGAAAAGCTGAACATTTACAAGGTGTACGGCTTTTGGTGTTTTATAGCGAAAGAGCAAAGAAACAGCGATCGGAATTACCCCGATTTCACCAATACCACTCAGTCGGAAGGCCGCGAGTGCCCGTGAGGCCGTGTTTACGCTACCTAACTTTAGTGCCACTCATTAAATGGGGTAAGTTTGTTTTTTTCCCCATGTCTTTTCAGTGGAAATCTCTTACTTTTCCTTATCCAAACCAACAGATGCTGCTTAATTTTTTAATTATTTTTTGGGGGGGGAGAGTGAGGGTTTTTTTGGTTTTGATTTTTAGTGTCTCTGAAAAGACTGGTAAAATTTGCTCTAGTTAACTTATGTTACTAACATAGAAAAGTTTCTTTTGCTACTTGGATTGTCCTTAGCTTCATTAGTCTGATCACAGATGTATCCCCAGTTTGGAATTATGTGTAAGGATGGCCTATCCACTCTTAGAGTTCTTGTAGCTTTAAAAAAAAATTTTCTTCACTGAATTGTATCCATGGACTCATGTGGTTGTGTTTTGTGGCATTTAGTTCCCACCTCTGTATTTGAAGAATACTAAATAGGAAGAAGAGTGGATTGGGTGTCCAGCTAGCTACTGGAGGGGTGTGGGGAGTGTGTGAAGTGGTTTATTGTTCATGATATTGACACTGATCTCTGGATTCCTATGATGGAAATAAAGGCTCAAGGAATGAACAGGCAAAGGGGGTTCCAGTGGCTGAGTGGTTACTGCACCTCAACTCACAAAAATGCCAAGCATGTCAATGACAGGGGATTTAGGAGGTTGTCACTGGGATGTGTCTCTGCCCAGAGTGGCAGCAATGGTATCGATGTGTTTCTCTTTACTGGATTAACGAAGCAATACTGTTCTCTTTGTTTTCAACTCACTTTTTGACTGCTGTTTGACAGTTTTGAAAGTATGTAACCTGTCTTTTTTTTTTTTTTCATTTGTTGTTTCTATATGTCTTTTGCTTCTTCTTATGATCATTATTTTGTCAGTGTGAATGCATTTTGCTTCCATTCTTAGTGTCTGAAGTGTAACAGAAGATTTCTTAAACATGAGCTGGTCCACAAGAGCCAGCCTTTACCCACTTCCGGCAGTAGCAAGGATCTTCGCTCCATGCAACATTTGATGGGTAAGAACTTTTGGCTTATATGTCCAGAATTTGTTTTCCTTGAGAAGCCAAAAACAGTTGAATATGGCTACTTGTTTGTAAATTTAGCAGGTCTCTGGGGAATGTACATCTCTAGTCTCAAAAAAATTATTATTATTATTTTTTAAATGAAGACTTCTGCTTTCCTTCACGTGTTCATATGTACTACTGCTATGTTATCCATGTACAACTTCTAGATATGTCACTAGTACATGACTAAGGCTTATAGCCATTTGTAATAAACAGGTTTTAATGGAAAAATGGAACAAGCCAAAGAATAAATGAAAGAGAACAAAAACAAAATTTGAAAATTGTGGCAAATGCCATTTTTCCTAAGTATTCTTCCTTTATTTTCCATAAATTTATTGACTTTTCTTTTGAGGTAAATTGACCCTAATGTGCACTGAATACATTTGCTATGTAAACGTTTTACGCTGCACAAATATAACCGTAGGTATTTTGATTTATTTTGTTGAGCTCCTTTGATTTCCAATATTTTTCTGTCAAGGCAAAATGAGCCCATATGACACCACGGGCCTTAAATGCAGAAGCATTTTCTTCCTAAAACCCCTTATCCCCCTAAAATATTACCATAATTACCCAAAATATAACCATAGTTTCTTAGATGGGTTTCTTTATTGTTTGTTTTTTATTTTTATTCCTTTTATTTCTCCAGTAAGCACATACCTCGTGCCCTGATGTGTCCTTAATGCAGGAGTAGCTTTACCACAGAACTTTATGCACTGCACAAATATGACAACAATTAAGTTGGTTATTTTTATAACTCACAAATATTTTTTTCTTAAAGTAAACTGACCTTTTTTTAAAACAATAAATGTTATAGCATGTAATTTGTCATAGAAATGTTAATTCACATGAAATATAACCATAGTGAGGTCAATGAGTTTTCAAAATTTAAAAAAAAAAAGTTTTTCTGTAAAATTCCCAAATGTCTTCCCTCCAGGCAAGCCCACGTTGATGTGTCCTAAATGTGGCAGCAGCATCATCATTGAGCTGGAAGTGTCATCGGTCAAACCGGCGGCCTCCACGACCACACGTAGCACGGGCTCAGCCACTTCCACGCCGGCCGGCTCCTACAGCTCCACATCGGGGTATATAGAGCATTCCAGGAAGGGATCAGCGGGGACGGTGGTGGCGGGGGTCAGACGCAGGAGTCAGGAGTGAGTGCTGGCGGTGGTGGTGTGTGTGTTGTTGGGGGAAGGGGGGATACTTTTTCAATGAGAACCTTTGGGGACGGGGGGGGGGGGGGGGGGGGGGGGTTAGAAGGGAGGGTCAGTTGAAGATACCGTCTTGAATTTCAGATATTTTTAATGGTGAATCACGCACAAGCATATACTCTTGCGCACACAAACACGTATACTCACACATACGCACACACACACACACACACACAGCACACACATACCTGATCTTTCTCGCTTTGATATATGTTTTATCATTAAAATGTTGTAACCATTTCCTTAGCTCAGCTTTGATTTGCTTTTTGTAGAGTTTTTTTTACAGCATTCAGACCATGCATCACACTCTCACTTACTCACACACTTCTCTTGCCTCCCCGGATCTTTGTTGCTTTAAAATATGTTGTCAGAAAAGGTGCTATAACCTTAATTTCAGGGCTGCTTCGTTCAATTTTTAAAAAATCTTCGCAGCGTACAGATTATGAATCCTTCTCTCATACTCACACACTTTTCTGTCTCCCCCCCCCCCCACCCCTCAATCTTTATTGCTTTTCAATGTTGCTTCATCACAAAATATGCTGTTGCCATCAATTCAGTGGTGCTTTGATTCAGTTTCATTCATTTTCAGAGCATTCAGATTATGAATCACACTCCCACATACATGCGCTCTTTCCCCCTCTCCATCGTTCTTTCTTTGAAACATTTTGTCACAAAATAATATGCTGTGACCATTAGCATAATGAATCACATACTGACACAAACATTTCCCCCCTCCCCCAGTGTTTACTCCCCAGAGTCGTCTGGTATAGTGACCGCCAGTGCGATTGGTCGGAAACTTTCCTCTGGTTCCCTGGACCTCTCCTCTCCCTCCTCTAGGAAGGGCAGCCAAGCTGGGGGCTCAGTGAGGTCAGCTGGAGGGCTACCCACAGGGTAAAAGAGTTCATCTTTTTGATTTTACTCTAAAATATGGAACTACATGCCCACATATCTGTATACTGATATGGACACATTTTACTTTAAAATATAGAGCTACATGTATACATACCCTTTTACGTATAATATTTTGCTTTAAAATATAGAGCTACATATTATGTACATACCCTTACCCTTATTTGGACATGCCTAGCATAATTTTTGCTGGAAGTATTTCACAGGGACAGTAAAGCAATAGCTTGGTGCTCCATACCTGGGATTGAGATAATGTAATGATAAAACTTCTTTGAATGGGTACGCTTTTCAAGATGAACTTTTTCTCTAACATGGTTTCGTAATAAGATGATGTTTTTGGTGTTGACTGCTTTAGAACAGACTAAAACTTTGAAAACTGTGCAGTCTCAGAAAGTGATCAGATACAGTGATGTTCATAGAAAATGGTTGGTGGAGCATGGAAGAGAAAGATAAACATTGTTTTGACTAAGAACATTAAGTGACAGAAAATGGAAAAATGTGCTAGTAATAGTAATCATATTTCACTTTTCTGCAGCGCTCGAGACTCCAGGTCTTCCAGCACTAATAGTACAAGGGAGAGAAGTGGTGCGTTTTCTGCTGCATTGAAGCCTGGCAGACGTAGTTTCATTGGTGGATTTAGTATCACGAATGTAAGTTAACAAAGCTGGGCCCTGAACAAGCCCAACCTTTAGGTATTGTATCTGTACGTTTGTGTTTTTGGTTTTTTTAAAATGTAAAAGTGTTTTAAAAATCATAGAAAATCAATAATAAATTGTAAAGCGTATAGCCTAGATCTTACTTTTATGTATAAATACAACCTATGTTTCTTCTTCTTCTCAGTATCATGTGTTATAGCTGTGCATTTCCTCTGATGACGGCTCAGCCAGTTCATTCCAGTTTGCTGTTTTATCCCTGGGGGGAGTGGGACTTACAGTGTGGCAGCCGTAAAGATGCATATTTGATGTGACCAGTCAAAAGACGTTTCAGTCGCCCCAAACACTTTGTTTGCCCAATCCAATGTGCCCACAGGATGCGAATATGCTGTCTGTCACTTTTATTGTGCTGCACGAGGAGCAGCCTCGCCAAACATCTGGTTGTCTAGATGTGTCTTTGTTATGATGATGCAAGCTGTCTAGGCTTTCCTATTGTCTAGCTTTACCTGTTTGTGTGTTTCACGGATTGAAGCGTGTGTTTAGAGGAAGTGACTGCATTTGAACATCTATATTATATAGTGAAAAACCTGTTATATGACAAAACGGTGCACTTGAGAGCTTACCTTTGTGTGGTGTACGTTTAGGCGGGGACTGCTGTATCATTGGCTTGTGGGAATGGAACTGGCATCTTTTGTGTATAAAGTGAAGAGCTAAATTATTTCCTGAGATGACAAGTTTATTTTACTACATAATTATAGTTTAGTTGCGCAAACGCAAGGTCACTTCCTCTAAACACATATGTATAGTTGTAAAAATAATTATGCAATTTTCTCAATTTTAAGGAGTGATATGTCTTTGAAATAGGTTCGGCACATCTTCAATAAGTAATTTTTGTTTGTTTGTTTTGGCACATGTTCAGTGAGTTTTTGTTGTGTATGTTTGGGCTCATCCTCAGGGAGTTGTTTGTTTGTTAGGGCAATTGTTCATTGAATTAATTATGTGCATTTGTTTGTGTTTCTTAATTCTCTTAGTTAATTGCTTGTGTTTGTTTGTGTTTCTTAGTTCATTGAGCTAATTACATGTGTATGTTTGTGTGCTGTGTGTTAACAGAGTGACACAGTACCCTCAGAGCGAGAAGAGCTGGTCTGTGTGGAGGACCACTTTGGCGAGGAGGCGGGAGAAAGTGACCTCACCCTGTCCACTCAACTGGCCGCAATGACCACCAGCCTGAGGGGTGTCCCGTCCACTCGAGGGCCTGCGGCGTATGTGCCCAGATCCTCGCTGTCGGAGGGGACCAGAGGCGGGGACTGCGGTGGGAAGAAGACCATGATGGACAGTGGCTTTGAGAGTGGGATTGAGGTGGATGCTGGACGCCCCTCAGGAATGTAAGTTGGTTTGTTCTTTTTTTGCCACTGAAGGTTCATTAGATTTTATCAGTGCAACGGACTATTGATAATAGAAAAAAAAATTTAAACCTGTTATGTTATTGTATATATATGCAAACATATTTTAATCGTGTGTGAAATTTGTTGTGTGGGTCCTCTAGTATGGTTTGCTCCTTCTTCCTTATCAAACATTTGTCGTCCTAATCTCTCCTCCTCATTTTTTGTGTTTGTTACGCTCTTGTAATACTTCTAATCTTCGGCTCTTATGTGACCTTATTGTGTTGAAAGTGCCGTTAAACTCATACTAAAACTAGAACTTAAATTGTTTCGTCAGAGGGGGCGTAGACCATTACAGTTACAATTTTTCTGACCCAAGTTTGTTCATCCTCCTGTAGGAAGCATGGCTCAGACATGATGAGGAGCTGGGCAGGCCCAAGCAGTGTCACCTCAGGCAGTAGTTGTGATGGCCCTATCACCTCCTTCCAAACTCTATCGGGGCATCCAGCCTCCCAAATGTCAAAGGACAATGACTCGGCCGCGGCCATGAAAGAGAGGCAGCCTGACAACAACTCTAAAGAGCGGGGAAGAACGGCGTCGAGGGTATCAGCCGAGCTGAAGAACTTGGCCACCATGGAGGACTACGTCAACAATCTGGTGGAGGAGGGGCGGAGCTTAGGGCAGAGGCGGGGCTCTACTGACAGTAAAGGGCGGAGCATAAGCATCACTCAATTCCTGCGATCATCAGCCGGGGTGGGAGCTTCAGGTGTGGGAGGGGGGCAGGGTCCGGACTCTACCAAGTCTGGCATGGATGAAGGAGAAGGTCACCTCCAGCGCTCAGTCAGTGGGTCTAGTATCACAGTCCTGCCCAACCCTGGCACTGCAGCAGCAGATGTAGTGGACGCAGGGCTGACCGCCCCACAGACATCCAGCAACTCTCTCTCTTCTCAGGTCACTTTCCAGGTAAGGATTTGTAGAGAACACATGAGGGTGGTTGGAAGGTGCTGCTGGTAGATCCTACTTCTTTTCATACCCTCTGTTATTTCTCTCTTTCTTTTTCTTAGCACAAAAGACTGCTTTATTCTGTAGCAGTCATTGCCCATCTGCATCTCTTTATTCAAACAAAATAGAGAGCATGTGTTGGTAGTGGAGGAAGGGTGGGAGAAAGGGAATTGAGAGTGGGAAGGACAGGGGGGACAGATGGAAGGTGTAGTTGGGTTGGAAAAGAAGGAGAGTTGGGTCTAGTTAAGAAAAGGATAGCTGGGAAATGGGGAAGTAATTTTCAATATTTTATTACCGATTAAAAAAAATTTTGTTTCATTTTACCTTGATATGGTTACTGAAAAGGGCCACAGATAAAACGATGCTGCAAGTTTCGTCCAAAGTCCAAACTGTAATCAAGTTTACTTTGTATATTTTTTCTGTCCTTCTTCTGTTTCTGTCTATTGTCTTGGTTTTTATTTTCCAGCTCTGAATGACCGTTATTGTGTTAATTTGCTTCTCTGTATCAAAACAAACTGAACGTATTGGAAAATATTTCCATCATTTTCTCCTTTATGGTGGATGCATAATATTGTAGAAAAATTGTCAATGAGCCGGTTTTCTTATATTTTGTCTGGTATTAGATTCCTCCCATCTGAACAGAACATTTTGGAACATTTTAATGCCCTTAAGAGTTAAATTTATCTCCTATGATTAAAAGACAAAGGCTGGTTCCTGTTTGAAAGCTAATATTTGAAAAATATGAAGGTTCAAAAGAATGGCTCCTGTATCCAATTTAACATTTTTTTAAAATAAAAAATTTTCATACAAGTTCCCTACAGTATGTGATTATTTTGGAAAATTCTATTGCTCAAGAAAGTTTTTTAAATTTCAACTGTCTTCTTTTTTTTTTTTAAATACAGGTTTTCATATGAATGTGAACATTTTAGAAAATTTTAGCATTTAAAAGAGTACAAATTTTGTTTTCCATTAAAAAAAAACAACACAGGTAGGGACTCCGGAACTAGAAAAGTCCTTAGAGACCTCCCTGAGACACATGAAGAAAGAAAGCCATGCTGGCACAGGTGTCATGACCTTGAACTCTGACATCTGCAGCAGTATGGTGTCCAGTGTCTATGAGAGTTCTGTGACGACCCCAGAGAATGAGAGGGTCAATGCGGACGGGGTGATAACAGACGGCGTTAGTGAGGCGGTCGTACCTGTCACTGTCATTAGCTCTAGTGAGAGCGGAAAATCGGGTTCAGATGACGATGATGAGCTCACGAGTATTTACGACAAACCGACAACGGTGGCGACAGTCCCTTCCTCGAAGAGAACGGGCTCGCGTGATACAACTGCTGGCCGAATGGATGGTTTGGCGGATGATGGGGCTCATGCAGATTCTGTTGGAGTTGTTGCTGGAGAGCAAGAGGCGAGGAGTGGTCAGGTAAAGCCCAGAATCTCAGACAATACGCAGATGGGCGCTGTCTCTTCTTCTTCATACTCGGAGCAGCAGCGAACTGATTCCTATGGAGAGCCAAAAGCAGCATCATCCTCAGGCTTCCACGAAGATCCAGCAGACTCTCTCTACAGTAGAACTGTCCTAGCAGACTACGACAGTGAAGAGAGGTGGGGCGAGGATGGAGGGAATAACAGTTCAAAGGTCAGCCTAGACACTGATGGATCACCACAGTTTGCCTTCCATCACCTCAATCACCGGCTCACACTGTATATGATGATGTCTGTGTTTCTCAGTGATGAAGAGTTCCTGTGTAAATTGCAGGTGAGTTTTTTTTGTGGTAAAAGTAAAGACAGAACGGGGAAGAAGGAGGGAGGTAGAGAGGGGGAAGATGGGGGAAGAGAGAGAGAATGTATGTGTATTCATGCTTACAGTGTATTTCTGTGTAAAAACTGCACAAAAATCTCATTGGAATAGAAATGACCGGTATTGAAGTTACAGATTGTTATAAGTGATTGATTTCAGGGTAAAAGTATAGCTGCTCCTCTTCCTCTTCGTTTCGAACATACATGATCTAGTTTGTAACATTGGGGTCACAGTGGGCATGCAGCTGTGTCTTACAGGTCAGGTACAAAAAGCAGTGGTCTGTGATTGTCATGATATATTAAGAAGAAGGGGGGAGGGGGGCGTTATACTTTACTATTGCCAGTTTTTTTTTCTCATTTCCTGTGATGGCTGCTGTAGTCATATGTGTCCCTGCCGGTCAATATCAGTCATATGAAGGAAATTTCAAAACTGAGTCAACGTCATTTTAAAAAACTATCACCTTTTCGCTACACAAGAATGAAGTAAATATGACAATATTTGACGAAAATACAGAACTTTTAATTGTGCGAGGTGAGGAAACAGGAAAAGGAGAAAATGGCCTCCGAAGTTGAGCAACATGTTTCCATAGCAATGGGATTCTTAGAATTGAGATACAGACTTGAAATTTAGCAGTTATCTTGGCTATGCCACTACAAGGTAACATACAAAAGTAGAAAACTATTCATTTACATAGAAAAAAACTTATGGACCAAACAAAATTCTAACGAGAATGGACTTCACGTCAAATGCAACATAATATTAGCATTATACTAGGTACCAGACACTAAATTTTCAAAGTAGCTGTATGTCTAATTTATCTGTTTCATATGAAAGGCCTATGTCTCCTGAGAATGTTGGTACCATACTTTTACCTCTCAGTCAGTGTTTAAGAGAATGGCAGCTGTTTCAATTTAACATAATAGTAAAATATTGCTGAAGTCGTTAACTGGCTGCAACCCCATAGTAAAAGAGTACCAAGTGCACCAAACATATCTACGTTAAACGAGTACAATCACTATAACATAGAAATGAAGCCTAATATTTTCAAGACTGTGAGATCAATACAAATCAGTATTTTATTGCCTTGAACACGATGATCTCTCGTTATTTCCATAAAAACGCCGAGCATTGTCTCGGCCTGCGTCGCTCCAGCTTTCGCGGTGAGCGAGCCGGCTCAATACTGTAGTTATTACTGAGTGCTCCCGGTAGTTTCGCAGACGGATTCATGGAAAATAATTCCAAGCCGATGACTTTATTCTAATAGCAAAAGAACTGTTCTTTCTCTTGGTACCTTTATTTAGCTGGTATTTTACACATTTCGTGTTAAAAATGATCTTTGAAAACTTAGACCCCTTTTTTCAAGGTTTTCTATGGCCAAAAATAATAACCATGGGAAACCACATTCAAAGCTGTATAGTTCTCCACCAATGAAAAGACGGTGTTTAATCATCAATCTTTCTGCAAAGCATTCGAATGCATGGGTGTCAATTTTGAACAGGGGGACCTCGCATTCCGCCTGCGAGGGGCTTCCCTTTCCACAGCGATTCTCCAGCTCCAAATACCCGGATATACAAACAGCTTACGCTATTATATAGAAGAAAATCGGAACTTTTTCAAAGTGTTCAGCATTTGGTGTTTCATAGCAAAAGAACTAAGAAACAGAGATCTGAATTACCCCCATTTCACTGAAACCACGCGCTCGGAAGGCCGCGAGTCGGCTTACGTGCCGTGTTTACGCTTCCTGATTATACGTTTGCAATAGCACCATAAACACATGAGAGCACACACACCCACACACACACACACACACACACACACACACACACACACACACACACACACACACACACACACACACACACACACACACACACACACACACACGCACACACACACGCACGCACACACACACACATACGCACACACACACATACAAACACAGTAACACACATACACACACATGCTGACTGCCACCATTCTTCACCCACTATTCAAACATTGTTGAAGTACCAAAGAAAGGAGCTCTTAGAGACTGCAACAATTTGAGAGGTATCACATTGCTATCAGTTCCCAGCAAGATCCTGGCCAAGATTATTATTAATCGGATGTCGAATGGCGTAGACAGCTGCTTAAGAAAAGAACAGGCAGGATTCCGCAAAGAAAGAAGATGCACAGATCAGATATTTGCCCTCCGCAACATAATAGAACACTGCACGGAATGGCAGAGACAACTTTATGTCAAGTTGGTTGATTTTAAAAAAGCATTCGACAGTGTGCATAGAGAAAGTTTTTGGTACATTCTACGATCTTATGGAATCCCTTGCAAGATAGGGGAGGTCATCAAGAGCTTCTACCAAAACTTCAAGTGCGTTGTTGGAAACAGTACCACTGCTTTTGAGGTAAAGACAGGAGTTACACAAGGATGCCAGATGTCAGCAATTCTGTTCAACCTGGCCATTGACTGGGTCATGAGGAAAACAACAGAGGATACATCAAGAGGCATAAGGTGGACCCTCTTCTCCATCCTCGAGGATCTTGACTTTGCCGACAACCTTGAGCTACTCTCTCATACCAACCAGCACTTGCAGGAAAAAACAAACCGACTCCACAGATACTGACGCCAGATTGGGTTAAGAATGAGCCAGAAGAAGACAGAAGTGATGACACTGAATGTAGGCTCCCCAACGCTGATTAGAGTGAACAACACAGACCTGCCTATAACAGACACATTTACCTACCTGGGCAGCATAATCAAAACTGACGGCGGCGCAAAGGAAGACATCATGAACAGACTCAGCAAAGCAAGATCTGTACACAGAAGCATGATCAACATCTGGAAGTCAGGACAGTTTTGTATACAAACCAAGTTAAAGCTGTATAACAGATGTGTACTATCCACACACCTATATGGCGCTGAATGCTGGAGGGTGACTGATCATGACCGTGCCAAGCTATCTTCCTTTCATACAACCAGCTTACGCCAAATCCTCAGAATCTTCTGGCCCGACAAGATATCCGACGCAGATCTGTTCCGTAAATGTAGGCAAGAGGACATTACAACCATAATAAAAAGGAGAAGGTGGAGATTGATTGGACATGTTCTGAGAAGAGAGCCAGACTCTATTGTGAAGACTGCCCTCCACTGGACACCCGAAGGACGTCACAAAAGGGGCATACCCAAAGTAACATGGAGACGCACAGTGGAGTCTGAAATGAAGTCCTGGAATCATTCATGGGGAACGCTGACCAAGATGGCCCAAAACAGACAGAGCTGGAGATCCTTTGTTGCTGCCCTAAAGGCCAGATGGCGTAATGGGTAGTAAGTAAGTAAGTAACGCACATGGACATAGACTGCTTCGGTGGCCTGTTGGTAAGGAGTCCACTCTGAGAGATCTAGAGGAAGGTTAATTAATCTTTTAAAAGCTCTAAAGCACAATAAAAACAATTTTTTAAAGTCAATCCAAGTGAAAAACTGAAAGATCAACAGACGATAGCAGCTAGCAGGGCACGCCCACACAGTCAGCAGTTTACGTAAACAAACTTGAAGTGAGCTAGAAGTTACCATTTTTACTCCGTTTTACCAATCAGAGTTGTTTCCATTTCAGACCATTCATGCTCGAAAAGGGGTCAAAATCCAAAAATAGTTGCGAATGAAGAACGTTGGAGGAAAGATTTTCCACTAGTGGAGAATCTTTGGTTAAAGCAAAGGTGGCCATGAGGTAATGGTTCTAAAAATAATCTCACAGCTACACACTTGCAAGGTCCAAATTCCTTTATCTCGTCATCCAAGCTCACAACAAACCACACACACCTAAAAAATAAATCAAAATAAAATATTTATAGTCAATTATAGTTGTTTATTTTTATCTTAAATGAAGCAGAAGACATCAGACTTTCAATTTATCCAAAAAACAAAAATTTCATGGAAAGTCACTTTTTAGCCTTTCGAGCTTCGTAGCTGATAATAGCACAGTGCGTCTTACGACTGATATTGAGCGGGGCAGACAGATATGTGTTTGAAAAAAAAAAGGAGGGGGGGGGTGTACAAGGCCTTTCTAAAGAGTAATTATCATTGCAGGATTTATAATGATTATTATTGAGTTTACCTAGAGGGCATATCCACAGCATGCTCTGTGCATTTTATAACCATATATGCATCTGTTGATCTGCCATTTGAATTGATCAAATTTATCAATTTACCGTGTGAGTTCAGATCTTTTTATTTATATTGATATTAATCTGAATGAGTCCATATTTTCTCTGAAGGAGTTTTCCCAACCTATGTGTCCATGACAAGTGAACATCTGATTCGAAGGATGCATCTTGGCTCTGTCTCCTCTCTACACACCCACACACCCACCTGCTTGTTATTGCTGCCCTCCTCCTCCCCCCCCCCCCCCAAAGCATACACCTTTTCTGATCGTTCAAATACTTATTTGAATATTTGAACAAGCCTTGTGTGTTGCTGTTCAATTCTGGATGGGGTCATGATTCAAAAGTATTGGCTATTATCTTTGAAGATTTTATCACTTGTCATGTGGGTTGTTGGCGGGTGCTCTGGTGTTGTTTGCTCCTTCTTTCCTATCAAACATCTGTCGTCCTTATCTCCCCTTCTTCTTTTTTATGTTTGTTACTCTCTTGTGACACCTCTAATCTTCTGGTGCTCATATGACCTTATGCAGTTGCGAGCGTCATAAAACCTCTACTAAAACTAAACTAAAAACTTGTCATTTCGAGAAAGTCACACAGCGCTAGTCCCAACTGTATAAAAACATTATTTCAATGTGCTCTTACATATTTGTGAATTTGCTGTTCTCGTAGTGCTTAAAATCTCATAATATTCTAGTGTAAATCAATTTAGTGGGCATTTGTGGTCAAGCTCTTTGCTGCCATGCGCACAAGGCATGTACTCATTCCTTCTTGGGGATGTTATTTGTTGAGTATCTTCATCTTTTTGCTGGGATGATACTGTCTGAGCCTGGGTTGGTGTTGACAGGCAAGATCAAAGAACCCACCCGCCCCCCTCTCCTCCATAGATGATTTTTTAAATAACAGTTGGGTCGTTAAACGTTTGAAAAGTACAGGGGGAAATTACTTTAGTCACAATTTTTCATTTTTGTCTGTGTCTGTTTTGACCTATTATTTGACGTTTCTCATTTTGTCCAGCAATACCATCTTTATCAGAAATGGCTATATATGTAGTAACTTTTGTACATGAAAAGAAATGGCAAAAGTCTAAATGGTGAGGTGAAAAAAATACAGTGGTTCTCAATGTTTTTTCAGTGACTAGTTCTGTTTTTCCAGGGAGGTCTTCATTTACAATGACAATCACAAACAAATGTTATGATTCAATAAAGTATTATGATTGAAGTGGAAATCCTGTATTTACCTGTGTACTATTTTTTTTGTCCCAGGGAGAAATGGTGCAGTACATAATAACAGATTCCTTTGAAGGAATCCTGATCATGTCCACTGAGAGGTTTTATGTGATGAAAATAACCTCGGAGGATCACAGGTATGCAAAATATTTATTCGCAGGTGTGTTGCCTGTGGTTCTTTTTAAGGCTGGTTTAGTCCAAGATTGTCAGAAATATCTTAGTTTGTCTGTCACAGTACATTCAAGTAGCTAAAGGGTTCTTTATTTTACCTCCCTCTGTTGTTTTCTGTGTGTCTGGATAGCTTTTCCCTTGCACTTAAACTTAATGACCATTATTGTGTCAATGTACTTCTCTTTACACACAAAATTACAGCATGTTACTTATGATTCTTTATTGGGCTGTTTCGGTTTTGGTTTGTCTGGGCAGTGTGTGCAGTTGGATAAATGGTAAGTTCTTTTTCTTTTCTCTGCCTGTTTGTATCTGTCTGTATTGCTTTCTCCTTGCATTTAATGCCTGTTATCATGTCAATGTACTTCTCTTTACACAGAATTAGAACATGTTACTTCCCATGTCAAAATGATATATTGAATGTTGATGATGTTAAGGAGGTGGGAGGGGCATGACAATAGCCAAAGAGCTTGCTGTTGATCTGTTGTAGACTGAAGGGGTTTTTCTGTGTATTCTTCTTCTGGTGCCTTATTTTGCATTGTCATCAGTTTAGCCATTTATTTCTGTGATTTTATGTCAGTAAAATATTAATTGTTGCTTGGGGCAGTAAGGAGCTGCAAGGTTTTTTGGGATTTTTGAAGGTGACAATAAAGCAATAGTTATTGTTGAGGGCAATGAGGAGCTGTAGGGTTTTTAAAAAATGTCTATAAAATATTAGCCCTTTACGTGTAATAAAATTTGGTTTCTGTTTCCGACAGTAAAGAGCCAGACCAGTGGCTTCAGTGTGTGGAGATTCAACCGATCCCCGAGCTGCGTTACATTGATGTAGGCCTCGGGGGACAGAGCTTGCGGCTGGAGTTCAACACGGACTGCTCGAGCTTCACCATTGTCACTAGGAACAGGGACAAGACCTCGCAGTTTGTGGACCTGCTGCACAGTGAGACACACACCAGCTTTTTTTGTTTATTTCCAATGTCCTCTATACAATGGATTGTTTCTTTAACCCTATCAGACGTGGTGTTTTACTATCGTATCCACTCGACGTGGGGAAATCTGTGCCACCACTTTCCAAAGGGGAAATTTACTCGTTAACCCGATCCGTATGCTTTGCATAGCCGTCTGTCAAAATGATTTTTTGAGAAATACTGAAGGTTTCAAAGAGATTTTCGTACCTGAAGTATTCTAAAATGTAAAGGATACAACCTCGGAGGTACAAAATGACCCCAGGGCGTACAGATAGGGTTAAGTACGTTGGGTGGGCTGTATATGATAAATGTGTTTTTAAACTGACATTGAGTGGGCATTATATTATGGGAAGATTTTTTGGAGTTTTTTTTGCGTGATGTTGAGTGGCTATATTACATGAATTTTTTTTTTGTCTCACGTTGAGTGGGCTTTATATAGTTTATAGGACAGAATGTTTTCATTACTGACAGAGTGTTATCTTGTGGTGCTTTTCGTCTTTGTTCTGTATCTAGAACTGATGGTGTTATGAACTTACTGTGGAAATTTTTTGAGTGTGCAAAAAGTATTTATTTAAATGATGAGAGAAGATGCAAAATTTAGCCTGCAGTACTTTTGTATCAATTGTAGTGCTTACTGACACATATTCTTTATTAAGGACCTGCAGATCCTCCTTAGCAATGGTTCTAGAACAAAAAGAAAGGTGTTTTTTTTCAGCATCACGGTTAGAGAATAACACCATCGATATGTCCTCTTTTGTTGCCATTTCAGCTGAGCTGGCCAGGTATGCAGTGTCCCACGGCATCACATCCAGCGTGGTGGTCAACGAGGATGTAGATCAGGTCACACTGGACAACCTAGATGCTGACCTCATCTCAAAGGTCAACCCAGGTCAGAAGATGCTGTGCTACTGCATGGGCTACATCGACAGAGGTGAGGAAGTCACACGTGATGTATGTGTTTGCTGAATGTTAAAAGAAAACCCCCAGTGACACCCGCTAATTGAAGGCAATCTGTATGTGTGTTTGTCCGTCCTTCTGTTCCAATCACCCCTCCCCCCTTCCATGACCTTGCTCCCTGTCTCTCCCAGGTCACCAGAAACTGTTCCCGGTGAGCTTTGTAGTGAGCAGCTGTGACGTGTGCCTGGTGCGCACCAACCACCAGTGGCCCCAGCCCCGCCTACAAGGGCCCATCACCGTGGAGACAGTCGGTAAACAGTTTGTGCTGCTGGAGAGACAGAAGATCAACAACATTGCCTCTGTGGTACGTTTGGTTACTAGTTGTTTGTCTAAGGGTCATGTTGAAAGTGTTCTGTGTATATAAATTAACAGTTTCGGGCCAAAATGATACCTGCCCAATATTGATGTTCTGGGATGTTAAACTTTTTTTTTTATTTCGAAGACACTGATTACCATATTTGTAATCTGTCTGTTTTGTTTACAGAAAGTAGGTACCGCAATCTGTCACGGTGACCAAAACCCACATTTTTACCCTCCTAAAACACTGTGTGATCATGCATACACACAGACACTTGATATATTAGAAGAAAGAGGAGCTTTTCCTCTTTTTAGTGGTATTATTTATTTGAATCAACGATTCTTTTGAAAGCAAAATCTTGCGGGATGAAAGACAACACTATCGAGGTTTTCACTGTCGCGGCAGCGCGTTTCGTGTATTGATTTTTCGAGTGACCTCGTTGAACAGGAACGGGGAGCATATGGTATTAAATACTGCAATCTGATTCGTTGATATTTCAAGATGAGAAGACGCTCTTTCTGGTGATATATTTCTAAAGACTGTCCTTTGAGAATTAATAGAAGAGATTTGCGTGTGAAAACTTTCGGTGTTATTTTTTTATGGAACCAGTGATCGGACTGACTACGGAAATATATCGGCAGAAAGCCCATTCATTCCTCTTCAAGAATAACACAGCCATTATACGCAAATAAACACCGGACGCTCCCCGTCGGCTCACAAGCAGGGCACCATCGCCCCGGTTTCGTATAAATTCTCTCTTCTTCCCTTCAGCGCGGCCCGGGGCGCAGCTGATAAGCCGGTGGTCGCGAGTGGTGATTTTAACCTCCCCTTGTATTTCTTGCCGTTTTGGTCAAAAAGCCATGTTTACGTCAATAAATTTCCATCTTCTGGTTATTTGATAGCCCTGAAAAAAATTGAGCTTGTTCTCTATGTGTATAGGTGTGTGTCTACAAGTTTTTGTGAATGTCCATTCAAATTTAAGAATGTTGTGACATCTCAAAGTGGAGACATTTCGCAATTAAAAAACTGTAACATTTTTCTGCAACTTCATATGTTCATAACTTTGTTAAAAATGAAGCTATATGTATAAATTTGGTATCAAAATGCTCAGAATGATAAATTCTATAAGGTATTGCAGTTAACTATGAAATCAGAGGACTTTGAAATTTCAGTTTGTGGTACCTACAGAAAGATATCTATGTGTATCACAGTTTGGCAAAAGGATATTTTGGTTTGAGATGAAGTAGTTTGGTTGTGGGGGTTTTTTGTTACTGTTTGAAAGGATACTATGTTACATTCTAAAATTTGTCATGTATCACATTTTACCCTGAAACTTGATATCTTGTGTCGTTTTTGGAACTCCGAATACTTCCCTTTGTTGTTTCTATTAATGTTTCGATATATTTCTTTTGCTGTTCTGTAGCTTAAGATACAAATTTTGTGGTGCACTCTTGGACGGTTTCATTATCATGTATAGTAAGAACACTAGGGGCGAATGAGGAAGTAGGCCAGTTGTCTGTATAGGTGTTTATTGTTTTTGCAGGTGATGGTCCTGGATAGGTGGCCTTTAGAGCAGGCTCAATTGTATTTCATTCTTAGCTTTCTCAAGAAATGATGAGTTTTTATCTTGTGTCATTCTTGTGGCTTCAACTTCAAAAACAGTCGAACCTGCTCTAACGGCCACTTGTATAAGACCATCACCTGTGCAAACGGCCACTTCCCATTTCCTCCCTTGTGTATTTTTACATTACAATTATACTGTGAAAGACATCCACCTTAGACAACCACTTTCTTCCTCAGACTATTTCGACTGTATAACTGTGTTGGGTTTTTTTTGGTAATTTCACAAGTGATCCAGTTTCTCTAGAGCTTCGGTGGTTTTGTGCTGTATACTGTGCTACAATATCTTACTAGTTATAGTGGTTTGTTAAGTAAACAATTATACTATACGGCTGTAATATAATTTAACATTCTCATGGTACAACGATGTGACAGGTTAATATTTTACTTTGTGCAGCAACCTGTTTTTCTTCTTTTGTGGTGAATGGTTGCATTATTCATTGACAAGGTGCTCTGGTACTTCAATATTAACATGGTACAGCTTTGAAATGGGGCAAAGTTTGTATTTAGCAGTTTTTGAACCTGTTGAGTCTTAAATTTTATTTTTTAGATACATTTTCATGTCTGTTAAAAAATTATGGTGTTTTCCTGCACTGAAAGTTTCTCTTTTTCTCTTTTTCCTTTTTCGTAGAAAAAAGGGTTGGGGGGGGGGTTACTGCTTTTTAAATTACAAAATTATGGTAGTTTGAAAAAAGACATTATGTTTATTGTTGTTTTTTTTAGTTTGGTTCAAATTTCTTACTGGTTAATGAGTAATTTTCACTCCAGGCGGGTTTATTCCTGTTGAATTTGTTTAGTTTTTTCTGGTGTGTTTTTTTTTGGGAGAAAAAATCCTGGAAATGTTTGTGGGTTTGTTTCGTGAATTTATTTTAACACTTTGCAGTCACACTGCCAGCAGTACAAAATACCCCATCTGGTCACCCAGCCAGGAGAGTGACTGCAACGGACTTCTTGAGCCTGGCACCGAACTGCGCCAGGTGACCGAAACGGATAATTTTCACTGTCGCATTATTGCACCAAGTGACCGTAAAGTGTTAAGTATGTGGAATGTGGTGTTACATGCTAGCTACAGAAATTTTCTTTTTTAGTCATCTTAGTGTTGTTTTATCAGTGCTCCTCTTTTCCCTGTTTCACAGGAAGTGTGTGAAGTGTCCATGAGAAAGATCAGACTGGAGCTCTTCAATGAACTGGAGGGCTCTTCATCCAATTGGAACATCACCATGGCAACAAGACAAAGTGTCATTGACTTCATCAACGCACTGAGTGAGCCGTGGAGCAGAGAGTTTGGAGTGGAGATGGACATTCTTTATACAGAACTCAATTTCTAGGGTTTTGATCAGGTCTAGAAATGGGTTGGGTTTTTTTTTTTTAATTTTCATTTTTCGTTTGTTTCGGGTTCTTTGTAGTGGACAGGAAGGGTTTCTTTAATGGTTTTCTTTTATTTTGGTGGAGTTTTTCTTTTTTTTTTTATTGGGGGGGGGAGTGTATTGTTATGTTTTGATCAGATCCAGGTAAAGTTTAATTTCTTGTTCTTCTTTTGTTTTGTGTACATGAAAGCAAATATGAAGCCATTTTTTCTTGATCCATGCTGCTGTAGAGCCCTGGACTGAATGAGGATGCTGTTCTTGAAATGACTTTCTTAATGCTTAGTAAGACGATGATGTTCATCAACAGTCAATAACAGAATGCAGATGATGGGTCATCCATGACCAATGAATGAGAAACAGCTCTGGCTATAGTGGGCAGGCTCCAGGATTGGTTGGCGTCATTGACTCGCTTGATGATTGTGTTTGTTGGGGCAGATGGAAAGAAAAAGAGATAGAAAACAGAGAGAGAGAGAAAACAAAGAGAGAGAGAGAGAGAGAAAACAAAGAGAGAGAGAGAGAGAGAGAGAGAGAGAGAAAACAAAGAGAGAGAGAGAGAGAAAACAAAGAGAGAGAGAGAGAGAAAACAAAGAGAGAGAGAGAGAGAGAAAGCAAAGAGAGAGAGAGAGAGAGAGAAAGCAAAGAGAGAAAGAAAGTGAGAGAGATGCAGAGATAGGGGGAAAAAAGAGACACATAGAAAAAGTTTGTTACAGAAAAGGTGAGCAACATGGATTCCTTGTCTATTAGTCCCCCCCAATCTATATTTTGAAGATAGTCAACTGGAGGTAGTTCTTTTGCCACTGACAGCACACTTGAGTTTTATGCAAGTGCCATGCCTTCCTTTGTGCTTGACCCCCAACCTCATACACACACGTCATAGTTGTCCATCAGCTGTTCCAGCAGGAATAGAAGTTTATTCCTATCCGTACGCCCTGGGGTCATTTTGTACCCCTGGGGTTGTATTCTTCACATTTTAGAATACTTCTAGTACAAAGATCTCTTCGGAGCTTTCAGTATTTCTCAAAAAATCATTTTGACAGACTGCTCTGCAAAGCGTACGGATCGGATTAACTTTAACGAGTAAATTTCCTCTTTTGAAAGTAGTGGCACAGTTCCCCACATCGTATGGATACGATAATAAAATATGACGTACAGATAGGGTTGAATTGGCTGCTTTGGTTTGAGAGTAAAGTGCCTTACTACTAGGGTAGGGAACTTTGTGTTAAGTTCAGTTCCTTCATGGCAGATATCTAAAACTAGCTTGTTTAAAGAACTTTAACTCCTTGGCTCCGGCAAACTGTGCCGAGCGGCTCACAGTTGAAACTGCTGTGACGGAGGGCCGCTTCGAGCACTTTCCAATGCACGACTTCGACGTCAAATAACTTTCCAGCTATTAAGGAAACCAAGTCTCTTTTATCTGGAGTTCATTCATCAGATTAAGAACTATCAAAATAGGTTCACTTGTTTTGCTTTAATGACCAATTTAGGTACGTATATGTCACTTTTAGATTTCCTACCAACAGAGGGCTCCGGCACAGTGGAGATAAAGAGTTAAAAGTCTTCTTTCCCTTACCGGTCAGAGATGGGTATTAAATTGTTGACCTTATCCTCTCCTTCTCCCACCACATAGACTAAAATTGTTTACATTGAATATTTTTGTCCTTGGGTGATCAAAGTCAAGTCAGGATTGAATGAATTTAGATGATTTTGACTTACTTGCTCTGGATTTCTATTGAAACATTGTCCTGACTTTTTCATCTGATGTTTTCAAAATGGGGTATTTATAAATTTTTAACGTTTTTATGTTCTCTTTTTTTTCTTTTCTTGTTCATATTTTTATCACATGTTCTTTGGACTATGTAGTTTTGGGGGGTTTTTTGTTTTTGTTTAGAGAAAAAACTTTTCTTTTTAAAAAAATAAAGACATGTTAGACATAATGAACAGCAATTTGCTCTATTCAAAGGGCAAAATCTTGGCCATCTTTGGACCAGTTTCATCAAAACTGTGAATAAATTAAATTCAATCAGGGGAGGTCATATTTGTCAGTATTTAGAAAATCAACTGACATCTTCAAAATATGAAATTTTTTTACAATTTCAAACGAATTTGATTGAAATTACACCATATTGTTCGATTTCAGTGGGTCAACCTCTGTCCCTTGAAAAATTAACTTATTCATGATTGATACTGCCCAATAAACTTAGAGAAAGGGTGGCTATTTGAATAGTGTGCTCAAATTGTTGATAGTTTCTCTCCTTACAAGTCCCAACATGCCCCTGGAAGTTTTGAATAACCCTATGCCATGCTTGTGGGTCCATTCTTTGGACTTCATGGACTTACAATTGTTCGATTATTTGTGGGTTGTTTCAGTAAATTCTGACTGAAGGGGGTTCAAATAAGCGAATGCTTTCTTGCATCAGCATCTCTTGACGTGTGAGGTGTGTCACATGTTTTATGACCACTGGAACAAAGCCCTCCCTTAACAGCATAACACCTTCTCCTCCCCAAACTTCTTCTAAACTTTCTCGGCACAATAAGATACCCATCTGATGTGATTGGCATTGTTTTACCACTCTCATCCTGTAACCAGAATGGACCAATCACACCCCTGAATTTTTGAAGATGTAAAATTTTGAGTTTTGCTCAGTTGTGGTTGAAATTTATAAAACATAATGTTACTCAGATATGAAGATTTCTTTCATATTTACAGACTTGATATCCCCCTGGTTGCATTTTAATTGTTGGAAGTTTTGTTGAAATTAATGCTGAGATGAAGGAGGTATTGCCTTTTAAGTGGTTCTTTTTTTTTTTAAAGATGCCTTGTAAAAAGAAAAAAACATTTTTACAAATATTATTCTTATGCTAATGTGTACAGTCTGAGAAACCACATCTGACTCTGCTACGCTCATTTTTTCAAGTTTTAGAATGCATGTCACATAGTATATTCCTTTTATTTCTAGTCGAAGCTTTGAAGTATGTCGTCGTTCACTTATAATTTTGAATACATGTATATTATATACATATACTGTGTTTTTTGTTTTCTTTTATGTGTATAGAGAGATTATGGGTACCGTTTGTCATTTATGTATATTAGTCCCTTCAATGCCATATTGATGTACGTGTATGTCAAACAGTTTCAAAATTTTGTATATCTTAATGCAACAGGTACATTAAAATGTGTCGTATCAAATGGGATAATTATTTGGCTTCTTTTTGTGTCAGAAGCTTTCACCATAAACCACAATCGTCTTTCTCTAGCAAAACTCACTTCTTGGCATAAGATTTAAATGCTATATCTGTATTTACACTATATTTAAAATAGATTGTCCTAACTGGTTTTGTACATACATGAATGTTTATACCAGATACTGTGGTAATTGTTTGTTTGCAAGCTTTTTGCTCACCTGACAGAATTAGCCCTTGAGTCAGATATTGTCTTCCACACTTCCATCGCGATGTATAAAACTATTTATTTTAGAATTGTATTCATACCTTCTAATTTATAGTCTGAATGTTTCTTATCGATTGTGTTAGGCTCTAAATATGTAACTGGAAGAAATAGGTCAACACCTTTTTTGTTCTAAAACTTTCGAAAAAAAGTCAGGAGTCAGCATGCAATGTAAGTACAGTGGGTGCCGCATTCATCGAGGTCACATTCAACGAGAAGTCGGCTCCAACGAGGCAATCCTTAATCCCCAATTTTTTCCTCTATATCTCTTTGTATCTTTGTAAATGTACGTCGGCTCCAACGAGGTTGCAAATTGACAGAAATCGCTTTCAACGAGGTCACAATAACAAAATAAAAACAATTAGCGGCCCCGAAAGCGAAGAATTTTTCTCCTTTCCATCTCACGCGAAGCACAATGCCCTTAACCGATTCCTAACCCATTGTATTGCTAGAACTAGCCTGCCTCCTAACTTGGGCCCCAAAGCCAAGAGGATGGGCGAGGGTTAGCGTACAGTAGGGATAGGAGGGGGTGGGTGGGAACACGATGCGGGCTGTGTGAAACTATATTAACTCTGGATGGGTAGGTCTAAATTACTCTAGATCGAGACCTTCATTTCTTTTCAATTTTCTTTTCTTCCCCTGATCAGAAAATCCAAGCTCCCGCTTTTACTTTTGTAGGTCTAAGCCTAGTTGTGAGAGAGTATGTTTCGACACGAGAAGTGTTCAGGAAAAAATAATATTTTAAAATGCAGAAATGACAGAGCACAGCTCAAACTCGTGCTCACTGATGCTGTTTGAGATTTTCGTCATCAGGGGGAACAACTACTTTAATTACTGGTATTGAAACATCCTATAATATAATAACATGTCTTCTTTACTTTAGCCTTAGTCACGTTCAACGAGAGGTAGGACCCAACGAGGACAACAAGCCGGTCCCGGCAACCTCGTTGAATGCGACACCCACTGTAGTATGAATGTACTCTGGGATAACGTTTGTGTCTTTTTTCATCATTTGAATGAGAAATGTAAAAAACTTTTTGGCTTGTTGAAAAATTTTAAAGAAACTTGTCACATGGTTAGAGCAAAACACTATTAATATTTGTGGTTGCTTCAAGGAAACTCAGTAGTATTGACAAGTTTAGTTCTGAAATTTATGTAGGCTACTGGTAGCTACTGGTATACCTATTCCCGGTGTTTTGTTGGTCCTGAACGAACAAGGGAAGGTTCAATATTGTTGGGTTTTTTTTTGTTTTTTTAAACAGCACATTTATTTTTACACATGTTGTTTTGGAATGAGTAAACTTTTTACTGTTTGGGTGTATGTTTGCTTCGTGTTGTTAATCATTTGATTATGTCGACGGGGTATTGTCAGGGATAGTGTGCAAGAGAGGCAATGCTGCCTTTTCTTACCTTTGTGCTCTGCACTGTGATAATTTACTTTTGCCTGGCAGAAAATGAATAGCAGGTTATGCCATGATCAACAGTGTCATTGCTTGTGGTCATAAAATATATATTCGGTCGATCGGTAGAGCCAGTCCAAAGTGAATGTATGGAGATGCTCTGCGTAAATGAATCCAACTTTGCAACTGTAATAGTCATGTTTTACATCTCCATTGAGGTACTTTTGATCATAAAGGGGGTCAACTGCCTAGACCTTGCCAACCTGGGCTGATTGGGATGCAAAATTCCAGCCTACGAATGAAAGTGCTCCTTAAAAACTTCCCTGCTCTAGAATTGCAACCATATTTTCTGTGTGCAGCAGTGATAAAAACCAATTTGTTATACTGCAGATGCCGGTTCAGTTTACCTCACACACAGTGTTCCGTTTAGGACGATGAATAAACACAATGTTCCATACGACACTGAGTTCCGTACAGGACAAGCAAATGCTCTGTGTTTAATAAAGGACAAACAGACACACTGTGTTCGGTTTAGGGCAGCGAACAAACACAGTATATTCCCTATTGGACAAACAAACACACTGTGTTCCATACAGGACAAAAAAGCACAACGTGTTCTGTATAGGATGTCGAACGA